GGGCTAATGGCGTCGACCTAGGCAGGGCCGAAGGACAGTTGCCTCACCGCGCGTTCACCACTGCAATCATCGACGACGGCGGCGGCGGCGGCGGCGGTGTTGGTGGTGGCAACAGTAGCAGCAGTAGCGGCAGCCGCAGCAGCAGCAGTGGGCTGCAGGACGTGGTGATTGTCGCAATGGCGCGGACCGCAATAGGCGGGTTCCAAGGCGGCCTGTCCGCGTTCACCGCTCCGCAGCTTGGCGCCGCTGCCATCGCAGGTGCTCGCGTCTCACTCTCACCCCTCTCTCCCTCCCTCCGTTTCGCTGAAGTGCCTTAACATAGTCTTCCCACACTTGTCTCTCTCTCGCGCCCTCCTCTGCGCCGGCGCGTTTTCGGCAACCCCTGCTTCTCTCACTTGCGTGCGCCACGTGCCCAGCCGTCTCCTTCGCGCGTCTCCCCGCTCCCGCGCCTCCCTTTCCCCTCGCCCTCACTCTTAACCTCCGCGTATCCTCGCTTCCCCCCCACCGCCATCACCCTTCCCCCATGGCTGGGCCCGCAGGCGCGGTGGCGCGCGCGCGGCTGCCCGGGGGAGCAACGGCGGTGCAAGAGGTGGTGATGGGGAACGTGCTGAGCGCGGGCTTGGGGCAGGCGCCCGCCAGACAGGCCGCGCTGGTGCGTTGGGCTGGGGGGTAGGGGGATGATAGGGCTGGGCGCTGGGAGGGGAGGGGTTTGGTGGAGAATCAGAGGGAGGAAGGGTAAGAGGCAGGGAAGGAGGGAGCGATGAAGGAAGGTAGGCGAGGAGGTGGGAAGGAGAGGGAGTAAATACTTGTATACGCATTTGTAAGTCTGCGCTCGCAGTTTCTCGTATATGCTTCCACATAAAGGTATATGCTTCCGTATATGCTTTCACGTATATATATGTATATCGTGCACTCATGCTCACTCATACAAGCACACACACTATGCACACACAAGCAAGGAGCGCACACACACGCAGGAACAAACAGCGTTTCTCCCCCGCAAACCACCCCGGCAACAGGCAGCAGGACTGGCAGACACCACTATCTGCACCACAGTCAACAAAGTCTGTTCCTCCGGGCTCAAAGGTACCCTTCCCCACCCCTCTCCACCACTGTATCTTTCCGTCCTCCCTCAAGCGGTCCCTCACTCTTTCCAACTCTCCGCGCTGCCTCCTCCTCAGCGCCTTCCTTCTCCTCTTCTTCAATCTCATCCTGTCTTTGCTGCCTCCTACCTCCCTTCCTGTCTGCCCCGATTATCTCTTTCCAACAGCTATTTTCCACGCACCCCACTACCCTCTCCCCTTGCCTTGACGTTTCCCTTTCCCCGCACCCTCTCTTTCTTTCCCCCCTTCCTCGTTCCCTTTCCGCCCTCCTTTTCTCTCCCCTTTCTCCATCCTTCCTCCCCCGTTCCTCCCCCCTTCATCCCCCCTGCTCCCGCACCTCTTCCCTTGCGTACCCTCGCTCCCAGCGGTGACACTAGCGAGTCAGGCGATCATGCTGGGCCATCAGAGCGTGATAGCAGCGGGTGGCATGGAGAGCATGTCGCATGCACCCTACCTTCTGCCACGTGTCATCAAGCAACGGCGCCACGGTGACCTGGCGCTATGCGACTCGCTCATTCTGGACGGGCTCTGGGACCCCCGTGCCGGCTGCCACATGGGCACCATTGCTGACGCTGCTGCCGCCCAGCTCAGGATCTCACGCCGTGAACAGGTGCGGGGGAGAAGGTGGGGGGGAGCGGGTGGGGGGGAGCAGGTGGGGGGAAGCGGGTGGGGGAGAGCGGGTGGGGGGGAGCGGGTGTGGAGGAGTGGGTGGGATGGGCGTGAGCGGGTGGGGGGAAGCAGGTTTGGGCCCACCATGCGCTCTTGGCACACAGCACAGCATCCCTGTTCTCGTGTGAGGACCCCTGCTCTCTGCAGCAGCACACCTCATGTCTTCTCCGTGTGCCTTGCACCCCCCATGTACTCTTCTCTCCCACTCTTCCCTCCGCATCCCGCCCCTTTTATTGTTCAATCCACTAATCCAATCAATCATCTTACGCACCCATGCACCCATGCACCCATCACCCATGCGCCATGGGGCAGGACGATGAGGCGATCAACAGCTACAGCAAGGCCGTCACAGCACAGGCCACGGGTCTCCTCGCGTCTGAAATAGTGCCCGTGCCACACCCGCATGCTGCCACCACTGCTGCTGCTGCTGCTGCTGCTGCTGCTGCTGCTGCTGCTGCTACTGGTGGCACTGTGAAGCAGGGTGAGGGTGCAAAGGCTGGCAAGGGTGGAAGCACGGCTGGTGGAGGAAGAGGAGGCGGAGACGCATGCTTGATGCACGACGAGGAATGCACACGGGTAATTATCCTTCTCTGCCTCTTTTTGCTTGCTTTTATGTTTTTGTTTGCTTTATTTTTACTTTTATTCTCTATTTTTTTTCAACATTTCCCTGAAATCCATTCAGTGACTGCTGCTGCCAAAGGCACACGACTTAGATCCCTGCCCTCCTGCACGGTTTAGTTTCCCCTGATGTTGCTCCCTCCCTCTCATACCCCCTCCACCCGGCCCCCGAAACCCCCACCACTTCTTTCCACGCCCACCTTCTACGAAACCCCTCATCAGTTCGACCCTGAGAAGATGCGCGCACTACCGCCGGCCTTCTCGCCCAACGGCTCTGTGACGGCAGGCAATGCGTCGGTGCTGAGTGACGGTGCTGCAGCGCTCGTGCTCACCTCCGCTGCCTATGCGCACCAACACGGCCTGCCCGTGCTCGCCCGCGTGCTCGGCTTTGCTGATGCCGAGCAGGTGATGTGATGCACCTGGAGGCCCGCATCTCGCTTTCCTCGCTTCGCGTGCCTTGCCTTGCCTCCTTTGCCTTGCCTCCTTTGCCTTGCCTCCTTTGCCTTGCCTCCTTTGCCTCCTTTGCCTTGCCTCGGATGCGTGCCATAGCATGTGAGAGGAGTTGCATGGCTTCGGGGATGGCATCAGGGATAGGTATGGATCCATTTGGGTGTTGAATCTTCATCTCTCCCTCCTACTTATCCTACACCTCTTCCTCCTCTTGTCTTCTCATCCCATCACTGTGAGCCCTCGTCGTCCCTGTCCTTCCGCCCACTCCCACCCCAACCTCCCCACACCTCCCCGCCCCCCCCAACACCCATGAATGGGTGCAGGCACAGGACCACTTCCCAACAACAGTGCCGCTGGCCATTCCCAAGGCGGTGCATGCAGCCTTTTGAGGCGCCTCAGAAGCCCTCCCCACCTCCCACACCCCTCTTCCCCCCTCTTACACATCCATTGTGTGAGTGAGAGCAGGCACCGGAGAGGTACCCAACAACAGTGTCGCTGGCCATTCCCAAGGCGGTGCAAGCAGCCGGGCTGTCCCTCGAATGCATCGAGCTCTTTGAGATCAACGAGGCCTTTGCTGTGAGTGACCGCTCCTGCCTGCCTGCCTTGCATGCCTTCTCTTCTCTTTCACCTCCTGCTCATGCCGTGCCCACGTCTTGCCGATGCCGCCTAACCCATGCATTTCCCATGCCGTTTCCCATGCTACCCGCGGCTCCTTTTCGTCCCATTTCCTCCTCCTCACGCCTCCTCAGCCCTTTTATTCACACAACTTTCTGTAAATCACTCTCTCCTTTACCTACACCCACACCACAACTTCTCACAACGTCTCCCCCCACCCTTTCCCCTTGATCGCATTCCCTCATCTCCTCCCCCACTCTCCCCTCCTTCCTCCCAACCTCCGATCCCTCGCCAGGCCATCACAATAGCAAACGAGCGCCTGCTCGGGCTGACTCCAGACCAGGTGAACCTGCACGGGGGAGCAGTAGCCCTAGGGCACCCCATAGGCGCATCGGGGGCGCGGGTGCTCATGTCGCTGCTCTCCTGCCTCGCTGCCACGGGGCTCAAGCGTGGCGTGGCGGCGGTGTGCAACGGTGGCGGCGGCGCCACGGCGGTGGTGGTGGAGCGGGAGGAGGGGTTCCGGCTGGAGGGGCACGGGCCGGGGCACTGGCAGCAGCAGGAGATGCAGGCCAAGGAGCGCGGCGCCGCGCGCTGAATTCGTGGGTGCTTGCTTTGTGGGCTTGTGGTGTGGGCTGGCAGGCAGAATGGGCTGATGGAGTGGAGTCTTGGGTGCAGCCTCTAGGCATGTGTGCTGTGTTCTGTGGCAGCTGTGTGTGTTAGATCTGGTTATTGACTCTGAGCCTGGTTTGTACAGTGCAGCTAGTTGCAAACAAACTCATTCAGTATAATCCTCTGACTCTACCGTATGTTTAGCATTTATTAGGCATTGCATGAACTGCCGTTTTTTATTGTCTGGATCACTCGGAAGATGACTATGGTCACCCCATCACTGTCATGTCGATGCATTGACTTGACGAAAATTTGTATCTGAGCTCATGCTCATGCAGTGTAGTTTAGGGTTTCGGGTTGCAGGCGCCATAGAACACCACAGTATCTTCTCAATAGACAGATCTCCCTGATTCCCCTGCTCATGTGCAGCGGTACTACTACCCTTAGCAACATGATGCTCTAGTGCCAGCCACAACAATCCCCTGCTCCCAGAACCCGCCACCCAGGCTCCTCCACTCCCCACTCCCGCTCCAGCCCCTCCCCCCATGGGATCAATCCTCAATGTGGCAACACTGCAGTAGATCCTTTGTCATCATCACCATGTCACACTAGCATCCAGAACAGCAGCCATCAACAAACCATGCCCTCAAGAGCCATGCCATGAGGTCACACCATGTTATGCCATGCCACGCCACGCCACGCCACGCCACGCCACGCCACGCCACGCCACGCCACGCCACGCCACGCCACGCCACGCCACGCCACGCCACGCCACGCCACGCCACGCCACGGCCACGCCACGCCACGCCACGCCACGCCACGCCACGCCACGCCACGCCACGCCACGCCACGCCACGCCATTGCCACGCCACGCCAGGCCATGTCACAATGCGCCATCTCACACCACGCTGTGCCACACCACGCCGCACCTCAAGCTCAGTCCAGAGCCCAGGGCCAGCGCGGCTCGTACGTGAGGAAGAAGAGCAGCGCCACATCCGCGGCAAACCACGACCACTGCGGGATGTCCCCCAGCAGGAACGGCTGCAGCCGCCGCTGGCTGCGCAGGAACGCGCGCTTCTCGTGCTCGTTGGCAAACTCGTGCTGCTCCGGCCACTTGAGCCCGCGCGCCAGCAGCTCTGCGCGTGGCACGCGGTACGGCATCTTGTTGCGCCAGCTCGTTGCAGGGAGCCCCAGTCGACGGATGGCGCCCAGGATTCCGCTCACCTCCTGCACCCACTCCTGCACCTGCTGCTGGGTTAGCAGAGGATGCGCCGCCGCTGCCGCCTCGTGATGGTGCTGCTCGTGATGAATGTGGCGGAGGGTGTTGTGGTGTGGGTCGTGAGGGTGCAGATGGGAGGCAGGGGCTGAATCGCTTCCTGCTGCTGCACCACCAGAAGCTGCTGCTTCTGTGGCAGCTTTTGTGCTAGTGCCCACCCCGCGACCCTCCAGATGGTGCGATAGTGGCCGTGACGGCAGGGGCGGGGAGGCGGCGGAAGGAGAGGTGGGGAGAGCGGCAGCAGCGGCGGTGGCAGCGGTGGCAACAGTGGGAGTGTCGGCTGCTGCAGCGACCGGTCGAGCCGTTCCCGGTTGTGCCCGTTCCTTTGTCACAGCGGCTCCTGCTGATTCCACTCCTCCCGCTGCTGCTCCTTCTGATGCTGCTCCTCCTGCTATTGCAGTCACTGTTGCCGTCGTCCCTTCCGTCGCGGCTGTCGCCGTCGCGCGCGACATTCCCGCTGTTTCCACAGAAGCGCCTGCTCGATCTTTCTTCGCTGCTCTCCTGGCTGCTTTGGTCCCCGACGCTGCCACGGCTACTCTGCTGCCACCACCGACTCCTGCTTCTGCTGCTTCTGCTGCTCCTGCTCTTCCTGCTACTTTACCTGCTCCTGCTGCTCCGGATGTTCGTGCTTTCTCGGACTCAGCGGACGAGACGGGACGTGGCGGTTGAAAAGGTGATTGCAGATACGAGATGGCATCGGCAGCGGTCACTGGTGTAGATCCTAAGGGTGAAGGTGCAGTCTCCGATGCCGTTTCTGCTGCTGCTGCTGCTGCTGAACTCGAAGTCGCTGATTGGTTCTTACGCGGTACCATCCGAACGAAGCTCACGGTATTCGCCGAACGCGTTTCCGAGGCTGATCCCGAGCCTTCACTGGACTCCTGGCTCTTGGTGGTTAGAGGCGGGAGGAGCGGAACGGGAGGCGCAGCCGGTGGTTTCACTAGGCTTGAGGCCGCAGCGGTAATTGACTCGAGGGATTTGGAACCAGCGGCAACAGCCGAGCGACGTATTCGACTCGTCGCGGAAGCCGCGGCGTCGGTTGCGGCGCGAACGGCGGCGACCGCTTGGCGGGAGGAAGTGGAGGAGGACTGGCGGAGCGCCTCTGAGAGCTCCGGAAGCATCGCGACGGCTTCGGAGGAAACGGCTGCGACGGAGCGGATGACGGGCCGAACCGCGGATGCGATCTGTTCCCATGGCAGTGGCGGGGGTAGCGTAGCCTGAGGCGGCGAGGCCATGATTAGCAGCTGATCGCGGGGTGTGGGAGCAGCGATGAAGTCGTATTATGCCAGAACAATGAAGCTGGCTGGGTTATAAAAGCATTGTAGCTAGCGGCGGGACGCTTGAAGCATGCAGTGGTCACTGGTCACGATGAAGATAGCAGAATGCAGGGACTGTCGGAGCTGCGACCGGAATGTTTTCAGCGCGAAATGCGGCAGCAGAAGGAACAGGGTGGGTTGGATATGATCTGCGGGAGGATGGAGCTTGGAGGGAAAGGTGCAGGTGGGGTGGGGCGCCATCGTCAACTCCGATAATACACGTCAGCAGCTGCAGTGGGACCACATCGAAAGCAGTATACAATCACAGGGTGTAGAGTACACCGTCGCTTTGTACTACTTCTAGACGACTATTAATGAGGTGATTGGAATACAAGTGTGCAAGTTGAAAGCATCAGGTGAACAAATCATAGCACCTGGCCTCCCATTATTTTCATGCAATACAGGTTATTATCTCGGCAACCCACAAGTGCTAAACCTCCAACTAGCACCGGGGATGAGAATACTTCACCAGGCAACTCCAAGCTGCTTTCAACATAGACATGCATATCCATTCCATCATCCCCACCTCTCTCCCATTCCACAGGCCCTACAGCAGGTGGCAGCTGAGAGCCGCTATGCCCATGACTCACATTAGGCACAGAAAGAACAAGGAGCCTACCGGTTGTGGTAGCAATAAGCACTCGGTAATGAGATGAACACGTCACACGCTCTTGGATCGTTACGCTAGGGTGTAACTCAACGAGCTGTTGAATTGCCCCAGGCGTTTCTCCAGGGAGTGGAAACAGAGAGCCCACATCAGGACACACAGCGGCGGCAATGGAAGGGGTGGGAGGTTTCAAAGAAGGCGCATGATGTGAAGCTGCAGGTACCGGTACTTGCCATTGCCAGTGAACACGCCCTGTGGCCTGGGGAGAACCAAACCAACGGTGATATGTCAAGAGCAGAGGAGAGAAGTTTTGGACAGGGAGCATACCAATGCATGCATACCGTAGCATATGGGAAGGATGTGGTAAGACTGCTTGACTTGACTTATGGGGACATAATGAGATGAGATGATGCATGTATCAGTAACGACTCCCTGACGCAGACATGTCATACAGAGATGACACATGTTACCTATGTTTTCGACACATGCAATACTCAAAGTCCCCCTTTTCATGAACCCATGCTTGGCATGTGTGCATGCATGGCACCTTACCGCATACATGCAAAGGACGGCCCCATTCTGCACAGCCACCAGCACCTGCAGGCATGGGAACATGATGCAAGGCACAGGCAGGAACAAAACTTGGATGCATGCACACATGCACGAACACACACACACACACCCTGGGCCAGCTATTAGAACTAAATTGCATTGCGCACCTAGCTTCGGTAGACTACCTAACCCGTTCCCCCTTTCCAGCCTCCCTCCAACACCCCTCCCACTGCTCTCCCACTCCATTGCTCACTCCCCAACGCAACCCCCCCCTCTCACATGCTGCACGGCCCATGCACTCCTTGCACTGGCCATGTGTGCAATGGGTGCAAACACTGGCGCTCCCACTGCCACCTGATGCAAAGCGCCAGGGAGCGGGGTAAGGCAGGGAGGGGAAAAAAGGGTGTGCGTAAAAAGCAGCAGAGCTATGAGACGTCCTTGAACCTGCATGGGTAGCTGAGTGCATGTGGAAGGATGAGGGGATGGATGGAACGACAGAGAGATAGATGGGTAGGGACATTGCATGAACGGAGAATTGACTTGAACTTTACGGAGCGCATGGATGCGGCTGTACAGGTATGCACTGGTGGGCGGGTGGGTGTGTGGGTGTGTGGATGTGTGTGTGTGTGTGTGTGTGTGTGTGTGTGTGTGTGTGTGTGTGTGTGTGTGTGTGTGTGTGTGCATAGTTTGTGAGCAGGACAGAAGTCACCTGCCAGTCTATGCGACCACAGGACACATTGACTCCTGCCACAATGCCACCCACCGTGGCAACCACCACGTGCTCTGCACACCCCAGGACACACACCACACACACGCAACAGATCCACACCGCACACACCGTACACACGCCACACACACGCCACAAACACGCCACACGCCACACACACGCCGCACACATGCCGCACACACACGCAGAACACGCACGCCGCACACACACAGACACACACACAACACAAACACACACCACACACACACACCACACGCACACGCCACAAACACGCCACACACACACCACACACACACCACACACTGTAACCAAGGCTTATGGGCTGCATAAATTCCAAATTCAATGTGTGGTGCAGCACGGTGGCAAGCGGTGGTGAAGATAGAAGGAGAAAAAGCAAGTGGAGTAAAGGCAAGTGGAGAGAAGGCATTAGACATGGCAGGGGAAAGGAATGCACACCACGGACACAGGCAGGAGTGGAGAACACTGGCGCGCCCACTGTCTGCTGCCACACCACTGCCAACCCATGCGCTGCCACCCCTCCCCCCAATCCGTTCCTCCCACTTCCCGAGCTCCCTCTCCCCGTGCCACTGCCAGAGCCAATTTCCACCCCCCTGCTACTACCACTGGCAGTGCGAGGGGCATGGGGAGGAGTAGCGGAGGCAGTGGGGGAGGAACGGCAGGCAGCTATAGTGCCTCGTGGGGATGTGGTGCTTATGATGACATGCCGAGATGGCTGCACTTGGAGGGGTGAGTGCAGAAGGAGGGGGGTGGCAGGGACGAGGGGTTGGGGGGAGGAAGAATTAGGGAGGGCAGGCAGGGTGCTAAGGTAAGGGGAGTTTGCGCATGTGCATGAGCGTGCATGACCATGATGCATGGGGGCATGCGTCTACCCAGCAGTCATGATGGCATGGCATGGCATGGCATGGCATGGCATGGCATGGTGCGGCGCGGCATGGCATGGTTCGGCGTGGCATGGCATGGTGCGGCGTGGCATGGCATAGCATGGCATGGCATGATGCGGCATGGCATGACATCTCATGGCATCATGTAGCATGGCACGGGGGTGAGGGCATGGCATGGCAGCATGTGTCCCTGTCTGCACCTACCAGGTGGGCAACAGGAGAGGCGAAGAAGGCAGCAGGGGGGGAGAGGGAAAGGCGCCAGAGGCAGCAACGCAGGGCAGCATGAAGCACATAAATGTGCCGATCATGGGATCCGCACCTGCGTACAAAGAGGGGGGATGGGGGAGGGGGGAGGGGGGAGCGGGGAAAGGGGATGGGGGAGGGGAGAGCGGGGAGGGGGGATGGGGGGAGGTGGGAGGCAGGGTGTGGATGTGGGGATTTGTGAACGAGCTTGCTTGGGGCTGAGCAGGATAGGGTTGGACTGTGTCCATAGGACTGAACGCAGTGGCGGAGAAGTGAGCGGTTCAAACTTCAAAGGGGCTGAGGCTGCGTACTTGCTGCATCGGTTTCCGACTAAGGGGGCAGCCTCTTTGGGTGAATGCGACTTTTCCCAAGCCAGGGATGGACGGATTTTAAAGGGGCACACGGGTCATCCCTGGCAGAGAAGCCAGAAAGGAGGGTTGATTCGAGGAGAAGGCTTCAAAGGAAGAACTTTGAGAGACGGTTCCAAGGAGAAGGTTCCGTTCAAGGGCAAGGTGTTGAAGGGAAGAATCAAGGCGAGGGTATACCAGAGGAGGTGAGGGCGCCATGGGTCAACCAGGGGTGTGCATTTGACCTGCACATGCATGGATGCACATATGCACCACAGATGCACACATGCCCATATGCCCACACGCACATGCACTCATGCACACGCCACTCGCACAATGTGCATACATCCGCACAGCAGCACACGCTCCCAGGTCCATGGGCACGACACGGGGCAAACGAGCTCTGAACAAACGCTAGCACATGTGCTTTGCGAAAAAAAACGAATCGTGCGCACGTGAAAGCATGCGCGAGTGCAGCGCGGGGGCGTGTGGGCATGGGAGCATGTGGGCATGTGGGCATGTGGGAATGCGAGCGTGCGGAGTGGCAACCTGGTCATGTGTTTGGTACTTCCAATAGAGTGACCCATCCAACAAGCGGAGGAAGTAGATGGCACCATCATAGCAACCAACCACCACCTGCCACGTGGTGTGGAAGAGAAGGAGAACACGGCCAGGGAAGGGCAGGGAAGCAACACTTTGCAAAGGAAGGAGCGCGTTAAGAGAGATGGGCAGGCTGAGAGCGTGCAGGTCGGTGCAGTGCAGATCGAATGGAACGGAACGGAACGGAACGGAGCCATTCTGTTGAAACTCCCAAAGAGGCATGCTCAAGGAGGGACGGGTGGCGGCGAAATAAATACATATTTCAATGGAAAAGGGTGCAGGTAGACCTCCATTGAAGACGATACACCGTGAGAAAGGTTTCCCAGCAGGTACAGCCAGCCAGCCAACACTGGAAACAGTCATCACACGACGAGCTTTTTACCAGCCACGGTGCCCCCACACACCAGAGACAATCCGCTGCTGCTGGTGTCGTCAACGCCTCTAACTCCTCCCCCTCCTTCCCCTTGCTGTTCTCCTCCCGATTCCTTTCCCGTGCCTTCCCTTGCGCTTGCCCCTCCACAGGCAGTGGCTGCTGCTGTGATGGGAGGCAGCAGCATGGCTACGGGGCTCGCTTCCACCCTGTCGCCCACTGCTGTGCGCCACACCTCCTTGCCACTGCACAGTGACCGCCCGCACAGGGAGAGACGGATGGGGGGTGATGGGCGAGTGGGGCGGGCGGGGGGAGGAGCGAAGGGGAGAGTGAGGGCGGAGTGAGGGGAAGTGAGAGTGGGGTTGAGAGGGAGTGATGGGGAGAATAATAACCAGGCAGAAACAGACAGGGAACTTGGCAACAAAATAAGGGCGGTGCACAGCGTGCATGGGAGAAGTTTGAGAGGAGGTGGGTGGGAAAGGCATTGAGTAGAGAGAATGTATGGCAGCACGCACGCACCTGAGGTCACAGCAGAGGACAGTGGCAGAGTGTGATGCAATAACACAGAGCCATGTGCCGTTGACGCACACGAGGAGAGGCGATGCATCCACACATGCTCCTGTGCCCACGCTCCACTGCACTTCCATGCGCCTCCTGCTGCTGCCACGACTGCCACCACTGCCCGCATTGCTTGCACTGCTAGCACCAGGAGCGGGGGCAGCAGAGCCAGCAGTGACAGTTGGTCCCTCTGCCGCCGCTGCTGCTGCTGCTGCTGCTGCTGCTGCTGCTTCTACAGCTGCTGATGTGCCTGGTGTTGCTGTCGCATCTGCTGCTGCTGACGAGTCTCTATCTAGACCAGTGATTCCCTCCCCACTCCCCCACACCAGCACGCCTCCACTGTCCCACACGCTTACTCCTCCTGCTCGTGTCACACTCACCAGCGCTGCTGCTGCTGCTGCTGCTGCTGCTGCTGCTGCTGCTGCTGCTCTTCTTTGCTCACCGCCGGTGCGCTGCTCAACGACTGCGCCTGTACCTCTCAGCATCGTGCTGTCCCTACCCACCACTGCAGCCACGGCAGCCCTGACACCCATCACGCCTTCCATCTCCTTCCACTTGCGCTTCCCCGCTCGCCCTCCTGCACTCGATTTGCCTTCCTCTGCCTTTCCAACGCCTCCCCCATTTGCCCTTCCCTCTCTCCTCTGCCCCCTCCGTTCGCCTCGTTCTTCTACATCTCTTTCTTCCAATATTCTTCCTTCCACTTCTCTCCCTTCCTCTCTTTGCCCTTCCACTTCTCTCCCTTCCTCTCTTTGCCCTTCCACTTCTCTTCCTTCCTCGATTCTCTCTTCCACTTCTCTCCCTTCCTCTTCTCTCCCTTCTTCCATCCTCCCTTCCACAAACGCCTCCCTCCCTCCACGCCTCTCCAGCACCCCCCTGCCACCTTCTTCCCCCCTCAGCGCATTCATGAGGCGCACAGGCGAGGGGCAGGCGAGCAGCAACGGCAGGGTGACGCCCAGGCGAAGAGCCACCAGGGCAAGGGAGAGAGACGACGCACCCAGGGCGAAGAAATCAGAGTCAGGTGCAACCAGGGAAGGTGGTATCTGCAACGAGCAGGCCACTGCCTCCTGTATGCGCGTAAGAGTAACACTGCCATCACCTGACATTCCTCCTCCTCCTCCACCTTCACCACCACCACCTGCTGCTGCTGCTGCTGCTGCTGCTGCTGCTGCTGCTGCCCTTTTACTCCCTGCCACCGCACCCCCGTCCCACGTACGCTGCTGCTCAGCTCCCCCCCGTGCCGCCACCGGCTCCCCTTCTCTCGACCTGTGCTCACCCATTCCCTGTCCCATACTCCTCCCTTCAGTTACTGTGGGGCATGGCAGGGCCAGGGCGGAGAGGTCAACCTTACCGGTGGCAGAGAGCGGCAGGACGGGCAGGGAGACAATGCGAGAAGGGATGAGAGCGGCTGGCAGCTGCCCCCGTGCCCATGCAAGCAGCTGCGACTCCACTGCTGCTATCGGCCCCTCTTCCCTTTCCGCTTCCTCCCTTTCCTCCTCATATGCTGCCTCTGTCACTGCAGTGGTCGCTATATCGGTCTCTGGATCTGCAGCTAACTCTGCCTCAGTCTTCGCCTCTTGCTGTGTCGTAAACATGCTCCGTGGGCTCTCAAGAACCGCCTCCTGCTGTGACATTGCCACTGTGTGCGGCGGCTGTGCATGCAGGGACGCAACTGGACCATGCTCACTGCGCTTCTGCTTTCTGCTCCTTGCCTTTTCTTTCCTTTCCTTCCTCTCCTTCCCCCCCTTGCTCTCCTTTCTCTGCCCCCGCTGCTTCCATTGCACAAACGCCACCAGCTGAGGCACCCTTAGGGAGGACGACCCAGTGGGGGGCAATGGAAGTCCGGGAGAAGGGGGAGGAGGGGGGGGAGAACGAGGAGGAGGGTGAAGTGGCGGGCAGAGTTTGACAGCAGCGCGGGCGACAGCAGGGTGCAGCTGCAGGGCAGCCTCCACCTCCCCCAGATGCACCCTGCGGCCCCCCACCTTCACCACCCGCTGCCCCTGCTGCCGCCCGTACACCACAAACCCTCCACCCGCCCCCCTCTGCTCATGCCCCTCATGCCCCTCGTTCTCCTCACTGCCCTCTTGCCCATCACGCCCCTCTTGCCCCTCTCGCCCCTTGTCCACTTGGCCGTGGTGACGCACGGGGTGTGAGGAGGGGCATGGCAGGAACGCAGCAGCATCTCCAGTGCGGTACATCATCATCACAGGACCTCCCCCACATTGGTGCGACTTTTGAGAATTCTCAAAAGAGGGGCACGGCAGGAACGCAGCAGCGTCTCCAGTGCGGTACATCATCACAGGTCCTCCCCCATTGGCGCATCCACCCGCCTCCTCCCTCCTCCCCCTCCTCCCCTCCCACTCGCACGTGCCTCTCCCATCTCCTCCGCCACTCACCCTTCCCCCTGCGCCCTCGCCCTGTGCGGAGCCCACAGCAGTGCCTCCGGTGCGACTGAGCAGTGCAGCGCGCACCGAGGCGGTGAGATGGGGTGGCACAGGGACGAACGCAGCCTGAGGGGAAGGCAACGCAGCAGGAGCAGCAGCAGGAGCAGCATTAGCAGGAGCAGCGGCAGCAGCAGCAGCAGCAGCAGCAACAGCAACAGCAGCAGGAGCAGAGTAATGGGCTGGTTCCACCCTTCCCCTCCCCCCTCTGAGCACGAGGTCGTCCAGGTAGCCAACAGCGAGCCCCACGCCAGCCACATATAGCTCGCCCATGCACACGGGGGGGAGAGGCAGCAGCGTGTGTGGGTCCAGCACTGCCACCCACGTGTGTGGTAGCGGCACCCCCACCGGCACCACTGCACTCGTGCTGCTGCTGCTGCTGATGGTGCTCGTGCTGCTACTGGTGCTGCCGCTGGCACTAGTGGTGTTGGCTTCTGGCGTTTCAGGCGTGGCAATTGGAGGCAGGGGCATGGGCAGGGAGGGAGAGGCGGAGTGGCGGTGGTGGGAAAGCAGCGATGAGGCATCGAAGTAGAGACAGTCACCAGACACCTGCAGGGTGAATAAAACCAAGGTGGGGTGGGAGTAGGAGATAGGGGACGACATGAGCACAGGCATGGGCATGGGCATGGGCATGGTCATGGGCATGGGCATGGGCATGGGCATGGGCATGGGCATGGGAATGGGCATGGGCATGGGCATGGGAATGGGTATAGGGATGGTCAGCGTGTGCACAGACAGAGCAAGTGTTCAAAAGCAGCACCTTCCCATAAAGAATTCCCAACATGCACCTCATGGGTGGCGTACCGTGCACGGTGCACGGTGCACCCCAGTGGACGCATCATATGGCCACACATCACATGGCCACACATCACATGGGCGCACGTCACCTCAGTGGAGCCGTAGAGGTTGAGTAGGCGGCATGAGGGGTGCAGCACGGTTTGCAGTTGGTGCACGAGAGCCACTGTCAACGGCTCTCCACTGCTCACCACCACTCGCAACCCCTGCATGCCGCTGGGCCCTCCACTCCCTGATACACCTGCTGCTGCATCAGCTGCCTTGCCTGCTGCTGCTGATCCTGCCCCTTCTGCCCCTGCTGCTGCTGCTGCTGCTGCCACCACTTGTGTAAGGGGTGTTGCCATATCAGCCGCTGATGCAGCAGCTAGGATGCTGAGCAGGGAGGGTGAGGCCACGAGGCGGGTCACAGGGAAGGACTGCAGGCAGAGAGGGTGAAGGGAGACGGGGGCCATACGATGACATTGAGAGCAAGACGCTGTGCAACTCGTTGGCTATTCTGCCACAATGCACTGCCCAACAGCTCGAGATGTGGAAATAAACACTTCCTGCCACGCTGCCATGCCACGCTGCTGTGTGCACTGACAGCCTCTGCTGATGAACAACCTTGGAAAGCAGAGGCTGTTGCAGTGAGCTCCTCCACTCTGTTAGTTAATCCCTGTAACCCCACCTCTTCCCACCTCTTCCCGGGACGGTTCCTCACGATTCTCAACACAACACCCACCGCATCACCGCGCCTCACAATACCTCACCACACTTACCTGTGCCGCGCTGCACCTGCACTGCACTGCGCTATGCTGACCTGCGCAGGGCTGCGGTGTGGTGTGCGTGCTGACTGACCTGCAGGATGCGCGAGAGCAAGGCGGGGGAGCGCAGCAGCAGGCGGGGCGGTGGCAGCAGCAGCGGCGAGGCGAAGAGGAGAGAAGCGAGCGAGGCGGTGAGATGGTCGATGAACGACACGGGCGAGCACAGCAGCGCCACGTCCGAGCACGCCAGGCCGGCACGCACACCACAGCGACGCGCACGGTGAGAGGGGTGAGATGGGTGAGTAGGATGGCAGGGGTGGGAGCGATGAGTGGCGGAAGGGACAGGAGGGATGGGAGGGACGAGAGGGACGGGAGAGTGGTGTGGGAGAGGTGGGGCAGAGGAAGTAGGTGAGTGGAGCGGGGGAGAGTGAAGGCGGGAGAGAGAGGGGCCGGATCGAAGTGGGTAATGGGCTTGCATCCAGAGCAGGCGATTCAGAAGACCTGACAGGCAGGCACACACAGACAGGGATGGGAAAATTATGATAAGGATGAGCAAGGAGGAATGGAAGCTGAGAATGTGGTGCGGTGAGGGGAGACAACTGAAAGGGAAGTGAAGAAGGGGAAGGGTTATTGGGAAGGAAGCAGGAGAAGGTATGGGAAAGACAGCGACTGCGTGACGGTTGGATCGAATAAAAGCAAGATCTTGAGAAGTGCACTCTTGAGAAGTGCAACTACATGGTGTGATGCATGCAGCGTATGGACACGTACGAGGCAGTGAAAGGGCATGGGCATGCGTGCGTGCGTGTGCAGGAGAGGAGACTACTGCACTGCTCCTGGCATGTGTATTTTTGAGACGTCTCAAAAATACACTCTCTACACGAGACTACTGCTCTGCTCCTGGCATGTGGCGGTCCTGCACTCACCCACCCACCCACCCACCCACCCACCCACCCACCCACCCACCTGCCTCGGTGCCACACACCCCTTTGGGTGTGGCCGTGGAGCCAGACGTCCACATCACGTAGCAGTACCTGCCCCCCTCCGCACCGCCGCTGCCTGCACTACTGCTGCCACTGGCAGCTGAAGCATGTGCAGCAACGCAGCCGGTAGCAGCAGCAGGAGGAGGAGGAAGGGGAGGAGGAGGTAGGGGAGAAGGAGGAAGAGTAGCAGCAGCAGCAGCAGCAGCAGCAGCAGTGGTGGTAAAAGGAGCGAGCTGGGCTGTGTGCATTTGTGCTGCCATGGATGCGTGTGTGCGAATGTGCTGTGATGCACGCTGCACGATCCCCCGAGGGAAACACAGTGTGCGAACCAGCAGAGAACCATCTGCTGCTGCTGCCCGGGGTAACCACGGCGACGACGATGGTGGAGGGGGTGGGGGGGAAGGGGAAGGAGGCAGGGGAGGAGGAGGCGGAGGAGCATTGAGGCGAGTATAGAAAACAGCCACTCTGCCAAGAATGGTATCAACATCCCAATTCGCTTCCTCATCCTCCTCCCACTCCTCACTACCCTCCTCCTCCTCCTCCTCCTCCTCCTCCTCCTCCTCCTCCTCCTCCTCCTCCTCCTCCTCCCCCTCCTCCTCCTCCTCATCCTGCTCCATCTCTCCGCACCTCCCCTCCCGCGTGTTCCCCACCACACCTTGTCCACCCACTGATGCTGACACTGACACCTCACTTCCACGAGCACCACAAACCTTGTTGCCACCACCACCACTTGTCCTCCTGCACATCCTCCCCTCTCTGCCTACACCCTCACCCCTGCTGCTGCCGCCATCCTTTCTCTCCCCCTCACCACCACCACCACCACCAACAGCAACAGCAACAACACCAGCAACAGCACCACCACCGCCACTCGCACTGCGCCTGCCTTTCCCCCCTGCGCGCACCGGCGGCCACCCGCTGCCAGCCTGGCACACGATGAGGCACGGCTGCGAGCGCCATGCCAGGTCAGCGCAGCGGCGGGGAGGCAGCGAGACAACGTCTATGGGGCACACGGCGATGGGACGGCGAGGGGCAGGTGACGTGGGAGGGGGAGCGGAGGGGGGAGCCGACGGGAGAGAGGAAAGGGGAGTGGAAGGGGGAGCGGAAGGGGGAGAGGAAGGGGGACTGGAAGGGGGAGCGGAAGGGGGAGCGGAAGGGGGAGAGGAAGTGGGAGAGGAAGGGGGAGAGGAAGGGGGACTGGAAGGGGGAGCGGAAGGGGGAGCGGAAGGGGGAGCGGAAGGGGGAGCGGAAGGGGGAGAAAGGGAGGAAGGCATTGGGCAGAGGCAAGCGAGGAGCGTGGCGAGGTAATCCGCTGTGAGCTCCATAGCCACCACCACCCTCACCGCCTCCTGCTCTCTCCCCCTCGCATCACCCGCCTCATCTCCTCCTTTGTCCTCTTCGACTCCCATTCCCAGCCGGTTGAACCGCCAGCCATCCGCCTCGGGTTCCCTTGGAGTCTTACTTGGCTTCTTACTGACCTCCGCGGCTGCCAATGGTTCATCTGCGCCGAGCCCGTCCGCCCGCGCTGCTCCTCGCGGCACCGGACCATCGGGATTGCCGAGGCATGTATTTGCGCTCCCCTCCCGTTGGGCCGCCATTGCGACTCGGGCTTCGTTGGTTCCCAGTTCCGCTGCCGTGACGTGGCGCCTGATGCAGGCACCGATTCTGTCGGAGGCCAGTCGCATCGAGACAACTGTGAACAGCCGCGCACGTGACCCGTCATCTGGCCACTGGCAGGAACCGTCCACGTGGGTTGCGGAGCTGCCACGTGTAACTCCCGTCCGTTCTGAATCATTCTCCCGCCGTTGCGGTTCCCCGTTGGTTCTCTGTCCCCTAGCCAACGGGTGGTCCGCGGAATCCTGAATCCCTGGAGCAAGTATCGCTTCATTATGAATAGGAAGACTTAAGGATGAGTGTGGGCACGTGGAAAATGTAGTCGTTTCCGCTAGTATCTTTCCCAGAACGCGTCGAGCGTGACAGATTCGCTTGCTTGGCGAATCCGACGCGGATTGACCTTCCCAGCCTGACAGCTCTATCACGGCTACTCTGTCATTATTGGCCGCACATGATTGATCCCAAACCGCCCGTAAGCTGCTTGCGCTGTACATCGCGTGGCGCGGAGCTGTTGTGGTTGTGTGCGAGTGTTAGGCACACAGCTTCGATCATCAGCGAACTGCAACGGTAAAGAGTGTCCCGCTGCAATGGTTTGAGTGTAAGAAACGGATATAGAGCTCCACTGTTGTTATTTATATACCATGTAATACTTCAGAATCAAGTCCGATGCAAGAATTCACAAGTGCGGGAAGGAATAACTCTGGCCTCGAGGAGGCTACAAAAAACTATTTAAATTACAATGGGTGGTGTTACAATCCCAAGTGGGACTTAGTGAAGGATCGCTCAGGGTTGATCGCAGAGTAGTGTTTGCAGCGGAAGTTTGAATCTCAGGTCAGAGTGAATATAAATGACTGAGTTGATAATAGCATGCACACATCGAGTTTATATAAGAATACAGGGGAATACGAAAGGACCTAGACTAACCATGTACTCTAAGGGGTACATTCCCTTATTACAACCGAATTCAAACCGTGCGGCGCGGGAACCCGCTTCAAACCTGTTCCCGCTCTTTTCACTTCAAATGTTTCTGCCAGCATCGGTCTTGGTCAGACGGTTGCTGCGTCGCTTCGAGTTTTCTGACTCCTCGACTTCGTACTCGGTAGAGTCGGCTCCTGCAGCATACAGGAATGCCTTCTCATAAAGTTTCATATCGTAACACTCCCCTTCATTCCTGGACGCGGGTGGAGCTGACTCGCTTGACTACTCCGGTGAGGTCAGAGCAGTGTTTGTACTGCTGACGTGGCAGGCGCTTGGTGAGAAAGTCTGCTGCCATTTCAGTGGTCGGGCAGTAGGCGAGGTCCACTTTGCCTTGGTCGATTTCGTCCTTGACGAAAAAGTACCGAAGCGCGATGTGCTTCGTGCGGTTCACGAAACCTGGCTTGTTCGCGATCCTGATGGCACTCTGGTTGTCGCAGTGAAGGCGAAAGGTGGGCGAAGTCGGAATTTTCGCCTCCTGTAGCAGCTCCTGCAGGTACAGGCCTTCGCGAACTGCTGCTGTCGCGGCGATGTATTCTGCTTCAGCCGATGACAGGGCAACCAGCTCCTGCTTCTGCGAGTTCCAGGAGATTGGCCCAGTTGGCTCCAGGCGAAAAACGAAGCCGGTTCGGGACCGTCGATTTGCAGGGTCAGCTGCGTGATCTGCGTCCACGTAGCCGTTGAGGTTGAAAGAGGTCGTCGTCAGCGTGGAGTAGGAGAGCCCGATGTCAGGAGTGGAGATGAAATACTGCAGGGCGCGCTCCAGGTCCAGCTGGTTCTCAGCTACTGGCTTGCGGGAGTACTGTGCCAGTTGGCTGGCGATGTACGAAAGGTCGGGTCGGCAGGTGACAGAGGCGAATAGCAGGCACCCCAATTTCTGCTGATACATTTGGAGTCCTGCGGGCGACAGTGGTTTGTTGTCCGGTTTGTAGTTGGTGCTGGGGCTGCGGTAGGGGGTTGAGAGTGGTGCAGGTGAGATGTTGAAGCGTTCCCCCAGCTGCTCTGCGTACTTGGAGGCTGACAGATGAATTGCTTCTGGCGCGTAAGTAATGTTTAACCCCAAAAACTGCTTCACTTCGAGGTTGATGGTGATGTCCACGCGCTGCGCCAGGTTCTCCTGGAACTGATCAAGGATTTTGTTGCAGGTGCCCGTGTACAGCAGGTCGTCGACGTAAACTGTCAGGAGGATGTAATCGCCGTTGAAGTGAAGGCGATACATTCCCGGGTCGTGTGGAAGCTGCTTGAAACCGATTTCGAGGAGGATTTTGTGCAGGTGCTGCTGCCAGAGACGAGGCGCCTGCTTGATCCCGTAGAGGGACTTCTTCAGTTGGCAGACCCTGGGGTCACCCTCTCCGTAGGTGTGCGGCTGTTCCACAAAGATGGTGGCGTCCACCAACGCGTATAAAAACGCGTTCTTTACGTCGATCTGTCGCAGTGGTAGGTGCTTCGCGGCGGCAATAGCGAGTAGAATCCGGACTGAGGTGTGACGACTGACGGGAGCGAAGGTTTGATCGAAGTCGATGCCGTGGCGCTGATCGTACCCGCGTACGACCCATCGTGCCTGCCGTCGGCGTTAGTTTTCAGGCGAAAACCCACTTCCCGATGAGCACCCTCCTCCCCTTCACTGCTGCACGATCGACTAGGACCCAGGTGTCGCGAGATTCCAGTGCCTTGAGCTCCACATCCATCGCAGCACGCCACTCCTTGGCGTGAGGTCCGGTTAGGGCCTGGCGAGGGTTCTTAGGCTCCACGGCTCGTGCGAGGGTAGAAACAGAGGTGTGGAGGCCGAGGAGTTGTAGGCCGGACACTGTGGTGGTGTCTGTGGTGGGTAGGACTTCCACCACGTCGTCGTCTCCGCTCTCATAGCCGGGTGCCGCGGTGCTTGGCTCTGTGCGGCGCCGTGATGGTCGTGGCGCGGGGTCATCATCGCTGTCATCGTCGTCGTCGTCGCGCGGGCGAGGTGGAATGCTGGGATGTTCGTCGGTGTCGTCGCGGTCCAGTGCTGCTGCTGCTGCTTCATCTTCCGGGGTCGCGAAGCTGCGACCGTGGTTGACGTAGCCGCGTGCTTCGTTGCGGATCTCGTCCTCGATCCACTGCTTCAGGGTGAGTCGTTCGTAGAAGAGGATGTCACGCGCGGGGACGATTTCCTTGCTGTCCATGTCAAGAATGAGCCATCCTTTGTGCTCGTGACTGAGCCCCAAATGAATTCCCCAACGTGCGCGATGAACGAATTTGCCGATTGTTGCCGAGGTCGGCCGGTATTGCACCATGCACCCCCAGACCCTAAGCATGGAGGGGTCTCCCCTTGAGCCGGTCCACTACATGTGAGGGGACAGGTTGTTTCTGTTGGCGGTGGTGGAGAGGAGGTTGTGCAGGCGCACCGCGTGGTTCATGGCGTAGGGCCAAAACTTCTTGGGCAGGCCGGACTGGTTCATGAGGGCGCGGACCTTGGTCATGAGCGTGCGATTGACCCTCTCGGCGACGCCTTGCTGCTGATGGGCATAGGGGAGAGAAATCTCGTGCTTAATCCCCTTCTCGGTGAGGACGCTCTCCAGCTCGTTGCTGCGAAATTCTTTTGCCCCATCACTCTGCCAGACCTTCAGTTTCCTCCCCGACTGTCGCTGCGCGTGCGCGAGGAAGATGCGGAACACCTCCGGAGCTTTGGAGCGGGCGTCTACGTTGGCGATCCACACGTGGCGAGAGTAGGCGTCGATGAAGGTGAGAGTGTACCTCTCGCCGTTGATGCCGTCGTGGGTGAGTACGATGAAATCGCTGTAGACCTTCTCCAGCTTCTTGTAGCGGTTGGTGCTCGGCTCCAAGGAGGGGTAGGCGCTGTGGGTGAGCGCAGCAGTGGGGCAGACAGTGCAGGTGACTGGGTGAGCGGTGGTGTGCTGTAGTTCTGTTCCGTCAGGGCGGAGCAGTGCTCCTGGCGGGAAGACCTTAGCGCGGAGGCAGTTGGCGAGTGTCTGGCGCGAGGGATGACCCATGCGCTGGTGCCAGAGGTCGTCTTCGGCGCGAATGCCGGAGGTGCGCTTGTAGCGGGTGTGGTACTCCGCTGCCTCTTCCGTCGTGAGTTGCGGTATCTGGAGTGGGGGTTCTTCCTCTTCTACTGGTTCTGCTTCGCTGGCCGGCTCCTCTGCTTCTGCTTCTGCCGTTGCCTCCCCTTCTGCAGGTGCAGTTGTGAGATACAGGGCGAGGAATTCGCGATCAGGGATGATGGTGAGCGGGGTCGTGGTACCTTCGATGAAGCGAGCAAACGGATCTGGGCGAGAGATTGGACCAAGCGAATCCCGTAGAGGAGTTGGTGGTACGTTCCCCTCCTCAATCTCCGACCAACGATCGCGCCATCGAGGAGGCGAGGATGGAGGTGAGCGGGTGCGCGGAGGACGTCCGAGTGGAATGGCGACGCGAGGGGATGGTTCTCCACGTTCAGCTTGCATTTCACGTTCCATTTCTTCTTCGTCTTCCTTTGTGATTGGCGCATCCACGTATTCATTTCCCCATCCGTCATCGTTGCCCCATCCTCCGGTTGTGACTGCGCCGCTGGCGCTAGCTCCCCATGCTCCAGTGGCGGATCCCCAGGTTGCTCCATCGCCTTCTTTTGGTACGTAATCCTCTTCTCCCCATGCACCACGACGTGCAGACTCTTCGTCCCATCCTGCCGCAACTCGCTCCTCATACAACTTTTGTTTCTTTTCCGCCCGGGCCTTGTCTTGTTCTTCCTTGACGCTTAGCTCCTCTGGTGCGTCAGGATCTTTCCAAGCTGGATCAATTTCGCGACGGTAGACCACGCGGGTGTACGGGCGCGGACGTTCTTCTTCGTCGAGGGTGCGCGCGTTGGCTTCGAGGACGAACCGTAGGGTGTCCGAGTAAGGCCTCGGTCTTTCCTCTTGGTCTTGTCCAAATTTCTTGCTCGGCTCTCCGAAGATGCGGTGTGATGACACGGCTAGTTCTTCTTCAGTCATGCCTGTGATTTCTGCCTCGGCGCTTTCTGCTTCCTGAATTGCCGCTTGCTCTCTTTCAACCTGCTCCGTGCGGCTCGCGGTGGGCGTGTGGCAGGTGGTGCAAAGGCCGTTGATATCAGGGTCGTGTAGGTTGATCTCGCGGGAATGAGGACTGCGGCAAACCCAAGGTCGCCCGTCCGGGTGCTCCCAGGATTCCTTGTTCGTGAAGGCAAACTCGAGGGGCACGAGATCCACGAGCTCGTCCGAAGATGCCTGACAGGGAGGGACGTCGAAGTCCAAGATGTAGATCTCGTTGATTGAGCGGGCTCGTCCGAGGTATTTGAACGACTCGGGGGGTGTGTCCGGGGGAGCGTAGGTGAGAATGAGGTCGCGCGTGGCAAGATCCGTGTGTATTATGACGCCACAGTCGCGGAGTTGTCCAGCCGAAAGCAGATTAAAGCGAAGATTCGGGGCGTAGAGCACGTCGTTGAAGGAGATGTGAGTGTTGCTGTCCCGTGCCTGCAGGACGACAATGCCTTGTGAGTTGGCGCGCAGCTGCTCGTTGTTGGCGACGGTAACGTAGGTTGGGGGGGCGCGGCTGAGGTTCGATACATAGCGCGTGGATCCCACCATGTGTTGTCCGCAGCAGCTGTCCAGGTACCAGGTGTTGTAGTTGTCGGTGTTGTTTCGTCGCAGAAGGAGCGCCAATCACGGAGTCACCAGAGTCGCCTTGTAGCGCCTGTGAAAGTAAGGGTCTTCGTCCTCCTTCCATCCCACCGGTACGTAGTGCTGATTGTCGTGAGGCGGACTCTCCCGCAGTGTGATCGGCAGGTTCCAATCCTGCTCGTCTTCATCGTACAGATAATAGTGATCTTCAGTGAGGGGATTATTCCATCCCTCTTCTGGTTCAAGGAATCTTCCTTGAGTCTCATCTTCCTCGTCAGGCTCATCGGTGCGGCGATGGCGCGTCGTCATGTTCGCGATGACGTTTCTGGGAGCTCCTGACTGAGGTCCCTGAGTTTGCTGATGCTGATGCTGGTGATGAGCAGGAGGACGAGGTGTCTGATGCTGAGAATGACGAGTATCTTGTCGGCCGACCCAATTGATTTGGTGAGTGGAATTTGGGTGGCGATTGTTGGATCGGGACTTGCATCGATCCGTTGAATGTCCGAAGACTTTGCATATTTTGCAATAGTGGCGCCTTGGTTGTCGTCGCTCTTCACGGTTGTCAGCGTAGAAGGCGAGGCGCTCTCGGCGCGGCGCGGAGCTTGTTCTGCTCGAATCCATGTCCTGTTGTTCGGACAGGAGTGCGGCGCATAGCGCGGCTTCTGAAATGATATCTCGCTGTCGGAGTAGCGCTTTGCAGGGCTTCCACTCTGGCCCGAGTCCTTGAAGGACTATATTGACGAAGATCTCTTCTGAGATCGTACTCCCATGCTTCGTGATCTGGTCACGGATGTTGCGACAGCGGTTAATGTACGGATTCGCTTTCTCCCCGTGCCCCATTTTTATCTCCAGGAGTTGCTGCAGAAGCCTGCTGGCGGTGACCGAATCCTTCGGCTGATAAACTTCAACGAGGTGCTTCCAGGCTTCCAAGGCTGGAGCGTCGCTTTCCTTGTAGGAGCGAATGTTGAGTTGTTCCGCATGCGTCATGTTGCGTAACAGCACACTGTAGGCCATGAGGGACTCACTGTAGTATTGAGCCCTGGCGACTTCGGTGTTTTCCACCGGTTTAGAATAGGAGCCGTCGAAGTAATGGTAGATCTGCGCTGTCTGTAGGAGGAGCTCAAGCTCAAAACTCCATGTATAAAAATCCTTGCCGTCAAACGCGGCAGTAGTCTTGATCTTTGAAACGCTAAGGAAGCGTGCTTGCGCAGAGTTGATAGCTTCATCACTTGGACGGGGGGCAGTTGTTGCTGATTTGTCTGTGTCGAGGGAGAAGGTGTGCGCGGCGGTATCACGGCTTTTCTCAGCCGGTTGTCCAGGTTGTGCTGGTTGGGAAGTGGTTCCCGCATCGCCTTTGCGCAGGTCTTGGAGTTCTTTCTCCATAGTTGAAAGTCGAGCGAAGAGTTGCTCGAGGGCGGCAGTGCCGATCGTGGTTGTCGCCTCATTTGTCGCAGCCGGGTTGGTTTGTCCTTCAGCCGCCAGATTTGCTTGGCCTCCGGATCCTCCGGCCATCTTGGTCTTGGAGCGTGTGCCGCTCGCCAGATCTTGGTTCGGCGAATTTCACGGAAGTGAAGTTGCGAAGAATCCCTGAGTTGCTCTCATACCATGTTACAATCCCAAGTGGGACTTAGTGAAGGATCGCTCAGGGTTGATCGCAGAGTAGTGTTTGCAGCGGAAGTTTGAATCTCAGGTCAGAGTGAATATAAATGACTGAGTTGATAATAGCATGCATACATCGAGTTTATATAAGAATACAGGGGAATACGAAAGGACCTAGACTAGCCATGTACTCTAAGGGGTACATTCCCTTATTACAACCGAATTCAAACCGTGCGGCGCGGAAACCCGTTTCAAACCTGTTCCCGCTCTTTTCTGTTCAAATGTTTCTGCCAGCATCGGTCTTGGTCAGACGGTTGCTGCGTCGCTTCGAGTTTTCTGACTCCTCGACTTCGTACTCGGTAGAGTCGGCTCCTGCAGCATACAGGAATGCCTTCTCATAAAGTTTCATATCGTAACAGGTGGTTTGTGGTTGCGATCAACGGCACGGAATTTATGTCGGATCAACATTCGCCCCACTGCGCCATCACACCTCTATCCATATCTACTCACCGAGTTAAAGGAAAGAGTATCAAATAACAAGGAGGATTCGTAATAAAGCCTAATAATACTGAGACTACCACTGCTTTTGTCTTATTAAGCTAGGGAGAATATAACATGCTAAAGAGCAAGAGGTATTTCATATAGTCCAGCTTGTTTTAACAAAATAATGTATTCTAGGCTTGGCAGAATGATATGCTGATAATGTGTGATGTTCTGTGTTCCTCTATACTTCGACCATCTGGACCACGTTGAAGTTCCCGCCATGTGCAACCCCCTTCTGGCACCCCAACGCCTTCGGTTTTTTCATGGCGCCTCGAAAATCAACTCTCCCACCAGCACGTTGATTCCGACATTGCCAACCCGCCCGAGCCGCATGTTGTCTCTCGCACCCCCTTCACCCCCGGGAACAACGGGCGACACTTGGTGCCACACACAAATGCATTGCCCCCTCCACTCCAGGGCACCCCATTAGTCAATCCGCCCATCCCCCCTCTCACCCCATCCCCTTGCAATCAAGCCCCAGAGGGTGCCCCATCAATTGTTCATACAGTAGCTGGCGAATGAGAATGGTCTTCGATGGAGCCGCAGTAGTCCCCATCTCTGCAATGTGCGATGCGGGGTGCAACAATCAGCATTTACTCATCGTCCACGCCCACAGGGTGACCCTGGTCACTGGACTGAGGTGAGGTGATGTGAGGTTGGGGGTCATGCGGCTGTCACAATGTCGTTGAGTTGATGCGGACAGGCACCTCCTTCCCTTTGCACGTAATTTTCCATTATGTTGATGTCCAAGCTGCTACCACTCTGCGAAGGACGGCCAGCCTAAACAACCTCTCGGCAGTCTGTCGCTACGCGCAAACTAGAATGAAAGCTGTTCCCGAACGATTGCTCAACTTGCTGTCTTCTTAGAAGGCTTCGTAATATTCTCCCTTTAGGCGGCTATCGATTTTCTTAGCTGTAAGCATGACGATTCCCGTAAGCCAGACATTCGATCCGTCAGACTACGCGCGGAAGCGCAAAGAACAGATTGCGCGCGCCAAGGAGCTTCGAGAGCTTCGCGCGCCGACGCTAATGGCGTGGAGCATTGACCAGCGAGGCAAGTGAAGTAGTATCGCTCTAGGTTCGGTCACCGAGTCGAGGATGTGAACGTAGTACAGAGCGATACTAAGTATCGCTCAGTCGGACTGGCTCCGAGTCTGTCCATGCCGACTCTGAGTCGCCAGCCAGAATCGCAAGGATTGAGTCAAAATAATTTGTATACTCACGTCAATCAGATACTCTGAAAATATATATTATCGGAGTGTTCATGTTTCCCGTCCACTCTCTGCCAAGCCCACATTCCACCCATCCACCTACTCGTCTGTTACCACGCTCCTACAAGTTGTGCTTCTGGTGGGAAGGGAGAGGGGGAGATTTCGGGGGGAGAGATGGGGGGGAGGGGGGGGACTGGGGGAGGTAGTAGTAAGGTTGTTGTTTTTTTGGTTTCTAATGATCTACTTAGATTTTTGTCTATGCCTCAAGCTCACGAGCCGATCGCTTGCGCCATCATGGTCTCCGTCTTCGTGACTACCATCGCACGCTCCTCCCCTCATCCCACGCGTGCAGGTACTGAGCGTCGGTCCTCAAGCTCCTCCGTACATCCGCACCCGTCGCCGCACCTCGACCAAGCGCAGCTTTCGATGCCGCGCAAGCTAGGTGCGCGCTGATTGATAATGTTTTCGCCTTCCACCCACTTCCCCGCCCTCTCCCCTACCCCGACACACTCCCCCCCTCCACACCCTCCCTGGATTCCCCACACCCCCCCTGCTCCCCACATCTCCCGCTCCCTTGCCCGCTAATCCAACTCTCCCCCTCACCCTCTCCACTCCCCCAACCCTTTGGTCGTCAGGCAAGAAATCCAGTCTGCGCCGCACCAGATCAGGGGACGGCATTCCCGCCGCCATGTCCGCCACCGCAAGCAGAACCGCGGACGCCGCCGCCACCGCTATTAGCACCACCGCCGCCGGCGCGGGGCCGGGATCCAACGCTGCTAATATCAGCAGGCGTCGCTGGCAACTTGCCATTCTTGACAATTCCGCCGCCGGCGCCTCCGCCGCGGCTGCGGAAGGTATGCCCGCAGAGAACGCGCTTATTGCCACCGAGACGATCCGCGGAGGCTCTTCCGAGCGCGGGGATAACTGCTCTGATGGCGGAGAGGCAGCAGTGGCAGTAGGCGGCACCGCGAAAGCGGATTTCTCGGTGGAAGCGAAAATCGCCGTCTCGTCAGCGCAACCTCTCTCCTGCGGCGTTGTGGAGGCGTCATCCGAGGGAGCTTCTGCTTCAGTAGAAGCAGCGGCAGCTTCAGAAGTTTCAGCAGTCGCTTCTGCAGTAGCGTCGGACGAGGAGATTTTGGCGGCAAGCAGCAGCAGCACTAGCAGCAGCAGCAGCAGCATCCGCGCTGGTGGCAACGCCACAGCCGTGGACCGTCTGAGCTCGTTCTCGCGGTCCTTCCGCTCCTCCGTGCATCAGCTGCTCAAGCGGGCCCTCGTCCTGCCGCAGATTCTGCCGCTGCGCAAACCAGCGCCTGCTGACGACCCTGCCGCCGCCGCCGCCGCCAACGCCAACGCCGTAGCAGCAGCAGCAGAAACGCCGGAGCCGTCGTTCTTAGTCGACCGCGCAACAGATAATAACTCTCGTGCGAGCAGCAGCGACGGCAGCGGCAGCGGCAGCTTCGGCCCGAAATTTGATGAGGGTTTGCGAGACCGGGATGGCCGGGCGCGCAGCCGTCCCGTGTCAGCAGGTGATGCAGCTGCGGCCGTGGCGGTCGAAGACGAATTGGCCGGCGCGACTCTACCTCTACTCGACGACGACGGCGCGTCGACTACGACGACGATGAGAACGACGACGACGACGTCGACGATTGGGACGACGACGACGACGTTGAGAACGACGACGATGACGACGGCGATAGGGACGACGACGACGACGATGCAAACGACGACGACGACGATCGCACCGCGAGAGGCGCCGCTACTACTAGAAGATTCGCGTACGACCAGTGCCTCCGCCGTCGCCGCCGTCGTTGGTGGGGCGGGCGGGGGTGCGCCGGACATTGTGGCGGCGGCGGCGGCATTTGTGACGGCAGTGGAACCGCCGGCGGCGGCGCAGGCAGCCGCGACGCCTCAGCTGCCGCTTCCCGCCGCGCTTCGCGAGCGTCGGACGTGGAGCACAAGCAACAATTGCTCTTGCGCGCCCGGGGCGGTGGCGGGAGGGGGGGCGGTGGCGGTAGCGGTGGCGGGGTCTGGGGCGGAAAGCCCTGCGGCGGGGTCGGATGCGGGATTGGAGTCAGCGGGGATTCCCCGGAGGGCGCGACCACACTATGCGGCGCACTTGTCGCTGCCCAGCACTCCTGTTCGATGCGATTCCGATAATGACGATGAGAGCTCCTGCGACGGTCGCCGTGACTTTCGCCGTAACTTTCGCCGTGCCTCAATAGTCGGCTTCGCGGGCCCGTCGAGTGTGCCGTCGCCGTCGATGGTGAGTCGTCGCGATGGATTCATAGTGGTACCGCCGCCGCCGCCGCGTTCCCAAGCTGGCGTATTCCGAAGTGGTCCGCTCGCTTCCCCTTTGACTGCACCCCCGCAAAGTGATCCCCGCGCCACGCAGGCGGCGTTGTCGCGGAACAACGCTGCCGGCGCAAGAAAGCTCGTGCCAAGGGGTGCGGGGGTCGGCGCGGACGCGGACTTGGAGCGGCAGCTGCAGCAGCAGCGCGGGCGGTGGTCCATGGACCGCGCGGAAAGCGAGCACGCGCGGAGCCTGCGGGAGGGGCTGAAGATGCAGCTCCGCCAAGGGGGAAGAGGTGGCGCTGTTGCGGGAGCGGCGGTAGGTACTGGTCGGGGGCGAGGTGGCGGGGGGGAAAAAGGGGTAGGCGGAGGGAGAGGAAGAGGGAGAGAGAGCGGGAGGAGACGATCCGGAACGGCGGTGGGCAGAGGGGCAGAGCTACGAGGAGGCGCGGGAGAGGCTGCGACGATAGTAGGTGGCGCGACAGGCGGGAAATCAGTGGACGGCGCAACCGACGCAACCGACGCAACCAGCAACTTACTGGGGTCGATCAGCCAATGCGCGGCTACTACTGCGGTGGCGGAGAATAGCGCGGACTCCGCGGACGGAAACGCCGCCGAGACGCGCAGCGCGGAGGCGGGCGGCGACGGGAATGGCGCAAACAGCTCAAACGGCGGAGATGGCGCTAACGGCGCGAGCAGCTACCCGTCAAGTCTCGCCTCATGGCCGAACGAGTCGCCATCTGCTGTTTCTTCCCCCACGGCTTCCGCCGCTTCTGAGGCGGGATCCGCCGCGTCGTGGACTTGCCCGGGCGCGCTCCCCGCTGCGCGCCACCCCGTTCGGCCCACCTCCCTCGCGCTGGTTTTGAAACGAGGACGCGGGAGCGTATCGGAGAGAATTGGCACGGGGAGAGGCGCGGAGAGAAGCGCGGGGAGAAGCGCGGGCTTGGAAAGTAGTTCCGGCGGCAGCAGCCGGCGCATCAGCTTCCCCCCGGGCGGTTCAATGGGTGATCGAAGTCGTTCCGAAACCACTCGTGGTACTGCCAGCGGCGGTCTCGGCGTCGGCGGCGGCGGCGGCGGTGGCGGAGTCGGCCATAGGAGTTTACTGGTGGCGCGTACTGCTGCGCTGGCATCCGCCAGGCCTACCGCTGCTGGTGGTGGCGATGCGACAGGGCGCCGCAGTCGACGAACCCGCCTCGCGATTACTACTCACACTACTTACGCTACTTACACTACTAAAGCTACTAGTAGTAGCAGCGCTAATAGTGGTAGTGGTGTTGAAATCTCGCCTGGTTGTGCGACCGCCGGTGGCGGAAAGGAGAGTGGCGGAGGTGATATTGGCCGGAGTTTGACACGCGATAGCAGCGGCAGCGGGCAGGACGGAGGTGCTGGTAGTGCTAGCAGAAGCAAGGCGGAAGCGTGCGCGAGGGACGCGGACAAGGCGCGGCCCCCCTGGGGCGCGCGAGCCCCGGGCGCAGCGCTGAAACCGAATGTGGTCCTGAAGGGAGATGAGAGGTGGGGAGGAGTGGAGAGCGGTGCTGACGTGCGCGTGGAGGGTGTGGTGAGCGCAGGCACGGGAAAGAAGAATTGCGTTGCTGACACGTATGCTGGGGCGGATGGGGGTGGCGGGGTGGGTGGGGTTGGCGGGGCGAGTGAGGCTGGTGAATCTGGTGAGGAGGCCACGCAAGGGACTCTAAATGCAGCAGGGAAGGGGGAAGAGGAGGGCGTGGAGGGTAGGATGGAAGGGAAGGAACATCTCGGCTCACTTGGTTCTGTGCTGAATGGAGACTGCTGGGAAGGCGGCTCTGCTGCTGCTGCTGATCATGCTACTTCCGTTGATGCTTCTGCTGCTGCTGCTGCTGCTGCTGCTGCTGCTGCTGCTGCTGCTGATAAAGCTACTTCCGTTGGTGCTGCTGCTGCTGAAAATGCTACTTCATTTGGTGGTGGTGCTGCTGCTGCTTCTAGTAATGGTGCTGCTTGTGTTGGCGAGGAAAGACTCGAGAGTGAGGTGATCGAGGGAGAGGGAAGTGCGGAGGGGGAGGAGGAAGAGGAGAAGGAAGGGGTGGATGGAGGTAAGAGGTGTGTGGTCCGCGGAGTGGAGGAAGGAGAGTGTGAAGAGGCTGTTGAGAGAGAGGCTGGTCCACTTGGGGAGGGAGGGTCAGAAGAATCAGTTGCAGCATGTGGGGCCAAAGTGTGTGGGGAAAGGCCCACAAGAGTGGAGGAAGCGGGAATGGGAGTGGGAGACCTGGAGGAACAGAGGGGGGGGGACGAAGTGGGGGCTGAGAAGGGGAATGAGGAACAGGAACTAGCAGAGGAGTGTGTTGAGAAGGCAGAGGAGTGTGTTGAGAAGGCAGAGGAGTGTGGTGGGGAGAGGCTGGCAAGCGGAGAGACAATGCAATGCAACCAGGATTTGTCGGTGGCCAGGGATGGCGGGGTTGGCAGGGACGTGTTGGAGGATGTTGCTTCAGAGGTTGTGCACTCAGTGGCTGCAGGTGGTGCTCTTGCTGCTGATCATGCCGAAGCTGGCGCCGGGGCTTATGCTGAGGCTGATGCTGAAGCTGATGCGGAAGCTGATACCGGGGCTGATGCCGAAGCTGATGCCGGGGTTGATGCCTGTTTCTTGGCTGATGCCAAGAAACATGAGCAGGGCGGAGGCACGGTTTTTAGCAAGCAGGACACGCCTGTGTGCTTGCCACAGGCACAAGGGAATGTAACACAAAGGACGTTCGGGAATGACAGAATCATACGCACGGGTGTTGCTGAACCTCCATCGGTGAAGCATGCTGGTGCTGATGTGGAGGAGGACAGGGACAGCCACCAGGCCACGGGCAGCCGAGAGGAGTTTCAGGTTGTGCTGGAGTTGAGTGGAGCGACTACGCCTGGGGAGGACGAGAGCAGGGTCAGTGAATGTAACAACCAGTTACAGGAGGGAGGCGGTGGCGGAGGAGATGGAGCAGCAGGAGCAGAGGACGTGGCAGGAGCAGCGGCAGCAGCAATACCTGAGCCTTTTGTGGTGGTGAAAGAGGGGGAGGGGAAGGAAGCAGTGCCAGAAGAGGGACATTTTGACTGTGGTGATGGTGTTGACGGTGGCATCAGCTATGGCAGTGATAGTGGCAGCAGCGGCGGCAGCGGTGGTGGCAGTAGTGGTGGCAGCAGCTGCGGCAGCAGTGGTGGCAGCAGCAGTGGCCGTGGTGAAGGGGGAGATGGTATGGATGGTATGGACGAGAGATGGGAGCTGAGGCACGAAGTGAAGCACGGGGTGAGGCACGAGGTGAGGGCAGGAGTGTGTGAAGCCCTGTCCCTGTGGCCCAACCCACTGCCACTGGTGGATCGCAATCTGGATGCAGCTGCCGCTGCTCTCGCCAAGGTGCGCCCGCTCGCCCTGCGCCTGCGAGCCATGGCCTCTGCTGCTAATGCCAGCTCCCGAGTCAAGGCAAAAGCAGTCGCCGCTGCAGCAGCAGCAGAGGCAGAGCTGTTGGCCGAGGAGGCTGTTGCTGAGAGTGCTGGTGCGTCTCAAGAAGGGGATGGTGGGGAGGGTGCTATGAGAGAGGCTTTGGCAGAGGGAGGTGGTGCAGTAGATGGGGAAAACGGTGTTGGTGCAGGTGCAGGTGCAGCAGCGGCAGCGATGGTCGAGGTGGCAGCAGCAGTGGGAGCTGCTGCTTCTGCTGCTGCTGCTGCTGCTGCTGCTGCCCCGCCTGCTTGTTCATTCACAGGAGAGGCTAGTCCAACAGCCGCAGGTGCAGGTGCCGGCAGCAGCAGCACTGCTGCAACAGCAGCAGTTATGGCATCGCAACCCCAGCAGTGCCCTTTCATGGGTGCACCACCCAGCAGCTCCGTCCCCCCTCCGTCACTGCCTGTGAGGCTCGTCCGTGGGGCTCCCCTCGTTCCTGCATCCCCCACAAAGAAGCTAGGGAGCAGTACTGGACAAAGGCCTGCTTCTCTGCGACTGCCATCCGAGCCAATTACTGAGCTACCACATAAAACAATAGAGAAGGCACCACATGGGAATGCGGTTGTGAAAGCTGTGGATGTGGATGTGGAGATGAGGAGATTCTCGCTAGGAGTAACCGGCTTGGATGGTGGGAGTTGCAGCTGCAGTAGAAGTAGCAGTAGTTGCAGCAGCCGAGGTCAGAGTTATGTTGGGTATTCCAGGAGCCCTTCTGGAGGCGCAAGTGCTCGTGCTGTTATTTCAAAAGGTCTGCTCGTCGGGCTGGCGAGTGGTCTTGGATCGCCCAAGCCCATTTAACTTCACAGTGCAGTATTTAGCCAGTATTTCTTTGTAGCCAGTAGATAGATTTAGCATTGTATGGTAAGCTGTGAAATGTTGTTGAACCTTTGCTGTAAGCGCAGTACTGTAGTAGTGAGTGGGAACATGGAGTCCTTGGTGTGGTGTGGTTGGTTGGAGGTTGGAATGGAAGGCGTTCCGCATAACGATCAGTGAGAATCTTGTCGTGTACTGCGGGGCGGTCTTGTTCCTGGGTGAAAAGGAAGCGCTGCGGCGGGGCAAGATTCAGGAACCCCAGTTTGCTCCACTACAGGATCTTTCCCTACAAACATTTCAGTGGAGCGTGTTTACTCGTTTCGTTCCGATCGGTGTCTATCATGGAGTTCGCTTCAATTCATTCTTGGGTATTTCTCGTCTAGGTTTTAGAATAAGTAGTTTATTCGTCTGCTCGCATTAAAATCGTTTCACGAGTGCGCCCTAATTCGACATTTCTGAAGTGAACCCAACCCAACTCGACCAAAGTCAACCAACTCGAGCCGGACTGTTCTCGGCTCTTCCGCGCAACACCTGCGCGGAACTCTCCGCTCTATATTACCCCTGCTGCTTCTGTGTGGCCCTGTCCCCTCCCCTCTTCCCCGTGCTCCGCCTCGCCCCAAGAAACAGTCACCCCTCCTCCAACCACCATCCAAGTGACCTGGACTCGTCGTCCTTGGAGACGGAAAAACACTCATCCATACCTCGATTCCCCCTTCTCCCCGAGCAGCCTCCCTTTCCCCCATCCACTCGTCCACTTCCCCCGCAACACCGCGGCGATCCCCCCGCCCCCACGACTGACCACCGCCACGAACATGGACCGCGTTGTCCCTCCTTTCCGCCCCCGCCCGCACCACCACCTGGTCACTACAGAGCAGAGAAGCACGCAACAGCCAAGGAAGGAGGCTCTTCCTCCCTCTCATCCCGCACGTTGCGCTTGTGCTTGTCTTTCTCGACTCCATTTTGTTTGTGTACGGTCGGTAACTGCCTAATTGGAGCTAGGGTAACTGCGTGAGGCAATAACTCGTCGTACTACTTAGGGTCAGATTATAAATTATTCTGCGGTGGGTGCTATACTGCGCGTCGTGTTCCATTGGCGCTGGAGAATCGACAAAAGTGGTACTGGCTGGTTAGCAAGCTCGCTGTCCTCCTCCACCGTTCCTCGCCGCTGTCGTCTCTCATCGGTCGTCGCTCGTCTTAGCGCATCGCTCTTGCAGAACGCTCAAGCACTACTCGCTCCTGTGGCCGCCATGGCTCCACACAATCGCCATGCGTCCCCACACCAACGCGCGTCCTCCTCTCTCGGCCTATTCCTGACGTTGACGCTGCTCCTACTAGCCTCCCCCCTCGCGCCCGCCGAGACAGACATGTCCGCCGCTACCTACAACGTGCCGTACTCGGAATGCCAGCGCAACCCCGCGCTGCGCAAATCGAAAGTCGGAGTGAGTTCTTAGATTCGTCGGCTGTGTATATCTCTCTGTGCAACATCCTGCGTATTGCAAGCTTAGAAATTCCACTTTTTTGCCGCCAAGCCTCTTTCGTCTGTCACCCTTTCGTTTAGCTGGCACTCGTTCCTTCTTGCCGGCAAGCCTCCTTTTTGCCCCTCGTGCCGTTGCCTCTCCGTCTGAGCTTAATTCTAAGCCGCCTCAAAGCACTAAATCAGCACCCCCGTCTCTCTAAGTCGTTTCACCACCATTCTCTATCGGCCTCTCGTCGCCGTTTCTATCCGTCCGTGCAACTTTCCGTCCGTCACTTTCTTTTTCTTGTACGCCTGTTCATGTTCTCGTCCGTCCCACTATCCCCCCTCCTCCTTTCCTTCCGGCCCGTCCATTCGTCCATCCGACCACCCTCCCGGTCGTGCGCCCGCCCAACCTGGGGCGTGTGCATGCGCGTGCGCGCGGGTCCATCTTCGCGCGCGCGCGCAGCCATCTCCGCGCGCGTGTCCATGTGTGCGCGTCATGTATGTGCGTGCGTGCGTGCGTGCGTGCGTGCGTGCGTGCATGCGTACGTACGCCCCTCACCCCTCGTCCATTTCCTCCCCTCACCTATCCTTCTTTTTCCGCCCCCCTCCCTTCCCCCTCCCCACCGCCGCTCCCCCCGCCTCCCCCACCAGGCGGGAGTGGATTCGGTGTTGGCGCTGTGTCTCAAGTCCACCACGTCGCTCGAGACCAACTTCGAGAATGCCAACAAGCTCTTCATCGGCAACATGTCCAACGTCGCATGTGAGTTGCTCCGTCGCACGTGAGTCGCTCCGTCGCATGTGTGTCGCTCCGTCTCCGTCGCATGTGAGTCGCTCCGTCGCACGTGAGTCGCTCCGTCGCATGTGTGTCGCTCCGTCTCCGTCGCATGTGTGTCGCTCCGTCTCCGTCGCACGTGAGTCGCTCCGTCGCATGTGTGTCGCTCCGTCTTCGTCGCACGTGAGTCGCTCCGTCGCACGTGCGTCCCTCCGTCGCATGTGAGTCGCTCCGTCGCACGTGCGTCGCTCCGTCGCACGTGCGTCGCTACGTCGCATGTGAGTCGCTCCGTCTCCGTCGCATGTGAGTCGCTCCGTCGCATGTGCGTACTCGCGCTCGCGTCGCATCGCATGCGTCCTCTCACGGCTCCTGCGCGCTCCCCTGCGTTCTCTTAATTCCCCCCTCCTTTCACCCGTCGGTCCGTGCGCCTCGGACCGCACTCGTTCCTTATGCCAGCCCCTAGATGCTCCGCGCACCTGCTCTCAATATCTGCTCTTGCGTTTCTTGCCCTTCCCCCTCCCGCCACTCCGCTGCCAGCCACCCCCGCACAGCCCCCTTCCCCTCCCCTTCCTCCGAATATCCTCCTCTGTCGCAGCCTACCCAATCACAACTTCTCCTTGGCCCCCCCCTCTCTCTCTCTCTTCCTCTCCCTCTCCCTCTCCCTCTCCCTCTCTCTCTCTCTCTCTTCCTCTCCCTCTCCCTCTCCCTCTCCCTCTCTCTCTCTCTCTCTCTCTCTCTCTCTCTCCTTCTCTCCTCTCCCTCCCTCCCTCCCCCTCCCTCCCTCCCCCTCTCTCCCCTCGCCCGCCACAGCCTTCGGCGCGTTCTGCGTGGAGATTCAAGAGACGCTACTAGTGAGCGACGACGGGCTGAGCATCTACCCGGCGCCGCTGCCCTCCTTCTTCCTCCGCCAGGGGTGGACGCTGCCGCTGTGGGGCCCCGCGCCCGACCCGTCGCTGGTGAACGAGACGGTGCAGATGACGCTCACCAACAACGGCGTCACGGACCTCAGCGTCACCGGCCTCGACTTCACGCAGTTTGGCCTGCCCGCCGATTTCTCTGTTGGACCCGGCCTCTCTGCGAACCTGACTGTGAGCCATCCGAGTCCGGGCTAGTCGCCGCCTTGCTCCTTCTCCTGCACTTGCGTCCTCTCCCACTCGCCCACCATTTCCTGACTTCGATTTCCTGTGCCCCACATTCCTTTTTTCAGCGTGCTCTGCTCCAATATCCCTGCAATCCCTCCTGTGGCAAGATGCTACGTCATGCGATGCCATAGCATGAGGCTCGCAAATGCCCTTGTGTGAGCTCTGATCAATCCGTGTTCAAACCTCGTCCCTAAACACGCTCTTGTTTGAACAGACCAACCCCTCCAATCTGACCCGCAAACATCAATAATGCTCGAATGCCTCTCCCTCTTACCCGCTTCCCCCTTTCCCCCGCTTTCTCCCCTTCCGTCTCCCTGCATCCCTCCTCCCCCTCCCTCCCCCTCTCGTCCCCAACACCCGCCCCCATCCATCCGCAGTTCAACCGCACGCAGGTGAACCTGGACTTTGAGACCCTCCCGCTGCTGCAGACGTACCTGTCGGGCACGAACCCGCCGGACCTGCAGGCAGACGAGGTGATCTCCGTGGTCATCGTCAAGCTCTACCCGGACGACCCCGACGGGCTGCTCGGCCGTGCCGCCTACGTGTTCCTCAAGCCCACCAACGACCAGATCAACCCCTACGAGTTTTACCTTTTCGAGGCGAATTACTACCTGCCGCCGCCCACCTCGTCCGGGCGGCGGCGGCTGCTCGCGGCGATCCCCAAGACCACGTCGCCGCCGTCGGGGAGCCAGAAGGGGTGCTGCGCTAAGGCCAAGATTCCCCCCACGTGCAAACCGGGTGCGCCCACGTGGCCCTCGTGTAGGAGCCCGCCCTGCAAGACGCCCTGCTAGGCGCTGCACACGCATGCTCGCGCGCGCGCGCTCACATGCGTGCTAGCTAGGATGCTGGGGAGATGTGGTGGATGATGGGCGTGGGAGTGGGTGTGGATGGGGGGGTTGGTGGGAGGTGCGGAGCGGAGGTGTGCTGTGTTTTTTTTTTTTCAGGAGAGGCAGGTGGAGGGGTGTTGGGTTGGCGCTGGTCGTGTGCAGTTGTGGCTCTTGTGAAGGGCTCGGGTTTGAGATTCTGCGGATTCTTCTGGCTGGCTGATGTGCCATAGCCGCGAATACATGTACGGTAGGTGGCAACAGTGTGTTGCTTGATGTATGGTGGGAGGGGTGGGGCAGGGGGAGGCGAGCGCATGGGAGGGATGGAGGGAGGGCAGAGTGCAATAATGTAGGGGTTGTTGCTGGCTGCGCTGTATAGGAATGTTCGTGGAGTAGTGTGGAGGGGTTTGGTGGGTTAAGGAATGGGAGGGAGTTGTGTGCGGGCGGGGTCTTTGCATCCATGGGGGGGTGCTAGTCTGTGCACTGGGTTGTGCTTGTCTCAAGGCCCAGAGTGTTGAATGGGGACGCAATGTGAAGTGTATTTGGGTCATGCTCTAACGTCCGTGGGTGTTGGTGTGCTTGTGACTTGTCTATTTTAGAAAATTTTATGGTTTGTCCCAGCTCTCAATTCATTTTCATCGTGTAGACTTTATGTTGACAATTGTTCATGAAGTCAATTGTTTTATTTGTGTGTAAAGCGCGCGGCTAAAATGGTTCTTTTGTTGCCTTAGTGTTGTTACATGTTTCTAATCCCCCTCTATCGATGAATCCTGAACCTTCTCTAGGTTTCAGTGATATGGTTGGTGGGTTTGAATTGCACCTTGTGCTTGATCTGCTCATTCGTTGGTTAATAAAGCGCGCCGACTATGCCACGGTGTCATGCAACAGAATAACAGAACCCTTTTTTACAAAAAGGCCGTCAAGCACGTGCCCTACCGCAGCGCCATGTCAGAGTTGCCGGTGAGTGCGTCAGACGCTGACCGAAAACAATCCCGGGCAGATTTTGATCAACAGCCACTTGCCGTCCGTGGCTGTCAAGAAATGGCACCGAGAAGATGTACATACATGTTACAGCGCTTTTAAATTTATGGGCAGACAGACCGTTCGCGGAACTGTAGTGGCGGGTGTTCGAGTATGTATGTAATGGATTTTTCATCGTGAGCTGAACTATCTTCCTTCAGAAGGAGCAGCAACCCTCCGCCGTTGGCGACTTCACAAGTATATAACCACGTCTAGACTAGAAATTGACATCGTCATTAGTCTGTTCTCCGCTCACAGTTAGTATAACTACAGCTGTTTCGTTGATTGCCATTACACGGAGCTGTCAATTTGTCTCGTTTTGAACATCGACGTTTCCTTTCCCTCATCAGTTCGAACCTTTTTTACTCAGATCTATTTTTTTCCTCTGAAATAGTATCGTTCTTTCTCTAGATGGAAGAAACCGCCGCTACAGCCGCCGCAACGTCCAGCGCAGAACCAGCTCCCGCCGCTTCCGATCAACCCACGGATGCGGCTCCCTTGTTAGGAGCGCCGCAGCGCGCGGGGCATCGCACGATTCTCATGGCGCTGGACTGCTCCGACAGCAGCTGGGCCGCGCTGCGGTGGGCCCTCGAGAACGTCGTGCGGCCGCCCCACGACCGGCTCGTGCTCATGTCCGCCGTGGCACCCGTGGTTTCGTACACTGGCATGACCGGCCGGCCAGGTCAGCCGAGACACGCCTTCTTTCGACGTGGTGATTGTTGTTGCTGCTGCCGCTGTTGCTGTTATAGTTGTGGTGGCTGCTGTTATGGTGGTGGTCATCGTTTTCTTGGGTTCCTATTTTTTCCCAGATCGCGTGCGTGCGTGTGTGGGTGGGAAGGTGTGTGTTTGTTAATTTCTCATGGCTACCACGTCCTTCGTAATTCGTAACGTGCGTCTTTCTTGCGTGGCCGTGCGCCGCGTTCTCGCGCGCGCGCGCCCCTCGCGTGTGGGTGCAGGCATGCATCTGAGCGACTCGTTCGTGAAGGACGAGAGTCACCGCCGCAAGTCGTCCGCCCTGGCCCTGCTCAACCGAGCTCGCGCCGCCTGTGCTGAACATCAGGTCACCATCCCCTCCCTGCACCCCTCCCTGCCTCCCTGTCTCCCTGCCCCCCTCCCTGCCCCCCGCCCCACCCCCCCTGCCTCGCTCCCTGCCCTTCCTCCCCCTCTCCCTGCCTCTCTGCCCCCCTCCCTGCCTCCCTGCATCCCCCCGTTCCTGCCTCCCTCCCTGCCCTCCCTGCCTTCCCTGCCCCTCTCCCTGCCTCCCTGCCTGGCTTTCCTACCTTAGTCCGTCTGCCTCGCTCCCACCCTCCTTCCCTTTGTCCCTTTGTTTCTGCCTGCCTGCGCTTCCTATCTCCTCTCCATGCCCCCGTGCTTTGTCCAGTCTTAGCTCCTCGCCTCCTTCCTTTCCCTTAGTGTCTCCGATGCTGCTCTTGTATCGTTCTTCTGCAGTCGTACAGATATGTACGAATGTACGTGTCTGTGCAGAACTGCAAGACTGAACTTGACGTGTCATGGCATGGCCTGGGCATGAGCATGGCCGTGGCATGATGGCATGGGCATGGGCATGGGCATGGGCATGCGCATGGGCATGGGCATGGGCATGGGCATGGGCATGGGCATGATGGCATGGGCATGGGCATGGGCATGGGCATGGGCATGCGCATGGGCATGGGCATGGGCATGGGCATGGGCATGGGCATGGGCGTGGGCATGCATGGCATGGCACGGCATGGGCATCAGGTGGAAGCGGAGGTGCGGGTGCACACGGGGGATGCGCGCACAGCAGTGGTGGAGCTGGCCTCTGAAGTGGCCGCTGACCTCGTCATCGTCGGCAGCCGCGGCCATGGCCCGCTGCAGAGGTGCCCGGGGCACAGGGGGAGAGGGGGGCCAGGGGGGCAGCGGGGCAGGGGGAAAGAGGGGCAGGGGGGGCAGGGGGAAGAGGGGCAGGGGGCAGGAGGGAAAGTGGGATGGGAGAGGGTAGGGAAGGAAGAGTGGAACTTGGAAAAGGGTGGCGGGGGTATAGTTGGGGAACTGGGGGGTTAAGGGGTGGGGGGATGTGGAGGCAGTGGGAAGGAGGGAGAAAGTAGGGGGATAGCGTGAGGGCTGAAGGAAGGTCGGGGGTCTTCATGTACTTCTCTTCTTTCTGTCCCCCTTGCCGCGCAATTCATTAAGTCACTTCCCGCGCTCCTCTTCCTCCCAAAATTACACCTTCATTTGATTGCCCCTCTGTGCCTCCCTCCCTGTCACGTCAATCCCATGGGATCCTGTGGCCACACCTTTGGTTCCTGTGCTGTCTTGCTCCTGCCAGGCTGCTGCTGGGGAGTGTATCAGAGTACTGTGTGCACCACTGCACCATGCCTGTTCTAGTCTACCGCCCTGCCACTGCTGCTGCCAAGATGGCTGCGGCCGCTTCTACTGCAGGAGTTGAGGAAAAGAGAGAACCGGAATCTACGGCTGCTGATGAGGCTGCTGATGCGGCTGGGGAGGCTGCTGGGGAGGCTGCTGGGGAGGCGGGGGGGGCTCCCGCAGAGCCCACCACAGAGCAACCTGCGGCCACGGATAAAAAGACCGATTAGAACAGCGTGGCGTGGATACAGTAAGTTTGTTAGCATGAATAGTGTAACATAACCAGGGGGTTCTCGATTGCGTTGCGCTTAGTGTTTTGTTCGTCGTGCCATAATAGAGTTCGCTTTTTAGAACTTGGACCCCTCCTGAGCAGGAAGCAAATTAGGGTACCAAATTTCTTCCCCGAGTGTTTTTTTTCTCCGTTTCTGTATAATTAGCCTAATTACACAACAGGGACTTCACCAGAGCAGACGCGTCCCAAACATCCTAACGACAACCACCGTAAATATAGACTCCAGCCCTGATGCTTGGTGAAGTATTACCAATATTGTTCCACGTGCTTGAGAGAGGCCATCATTGGTTGTGCATGTTTTCTATGTTCATCATATTTTGCATTTCTGGTCATATTTGTACACCGCTTCTCCACCGGAATTTGTTGGATCGAAAACTCAAACGAGACACGGCAACAGTTGCCGCGAATTTTTTCCCATCTTGTGGACCCGATCCGAGTCCATGGCTGCCTGAAAGCTTGTTAGGTTAGGATCTTACCTGCATTTACGAGGGCCCGGCACACGCTTATTCTTCGCGACGAGGCGTTATGCCCTGTCGTTTATAATCTTGAAAAGTCCTTATCAGCGCATTAGTCGTTTGTCAGATTGGACCAACTACTGGTCAAGCGGCAAGCACGGCTCCTTAGATCGCCGTGGATCATATCTCTTCGACTCATATTCTTCTGCGTTTCTCACTAGTCCTTTACTTTCGCTCGCTATATTCGTTTCTGCCGATGGAATCGGCACAAGAACATGCCACCGAGCCTGATTCGCAACCCAAGAAGCGAAAATTCTCCCCCATCCGCTGGGATCCAGACGGCCAATCAGCAGCTGCCACGCGGCCAATCTCCGTCATAAGGCACCGTAAGGATCCGATTCGTCCCGCCTCCGCATCCTCTTCCCCTTCCGCTCCATCTCCCCCCCCGTCCTCCACCTCCTCTGCGCATCGATCCCCCCTACCCACGCTTGCTTCCGCAAGAACTCCGCCTGCTGCCGACCGGGCGGAAGCGCAACGCTCGCCGCTCGGGGGCTCTCCGGCGCGCAGTGCGCATCTGCGCTTGTCTGCGCAAGATAGGCCATCTCCGCTCAGTGGTGGCAGGCGCGCGGAAGAAGAGGAAAAGAGCGCGCCCGCAAGTGCGGGTGAAGCCGCGGGAGGCGCGGAAGGTGGTCAGGCGGCGGAGAGGGAAGCTGCGGGGAATGGAGGGGGAGATGGCAGGGTGGGCGCAAGCGGAGGCGGTCGGGGGGGAAGCGGGCTAGGGGGGAGAGTGCGCAAGCTGGTGCGGGAACGGCGGGAGGAGCGCTCGGCAACCCCGGAGATCGTAGCGCGCGGGGAAACTGGCGGGGGAGAGTCGGGGGAAGCGGAGAGACAGGGGAAAACGGGGTGTGCGAGTGGGAAGGACGCGGGAGAGGGGAAAGGAGAGGGAGGAGGGGAGGAGGGAGGGCGGGAAGGGAGGGTTGGAGGGGAGAGCGAGATAAGAAGCAGGCGAAGATGGGGGGGAAAGGCGGCGGATAAGGGGAAAGTGGGGGAAGAGGTGGCGCGGGAGGAAGGGGCGCGGAAGAATGGGGAAGGGGAGGAAAGGTGGGAAGGAGGGAAGGAGGGTACGGGGAGTATAAAGGAGGAAGAGGAAGGGGGTTCAAGTAGGAAAGAGTCAAAGGCGGAGAGGAGGGCAAGAAAAGGTAACGAAGGGGGGAATGGGGAGGAAGAGGTGGATGAGAGGGAGGATAGTAAAGGGCGGAAGCGAGTGAAAAGGGGAGATAGTGATAAGAGGAGGGGTGATGACGACGCGGGGAAGGGTGCCGCAGAGAAGGAAAGGAAGCGTGGGGCGGAGAGTAGGAAGGATGTAAAGGTTACTGGCGGTAGTGACAGCAACCGAGGTGATAGCAACGCTGATACTGCTGATAACGCTCAAGGGGCTGATAACGCTGAAGGCGCTCATACTCCCAATGGTGATGACAACGGGGATACGCAGGAGGAGGAGAAGGGAGAGAAGGACGAGGGGAAGGAGGAAAAGGTGGAGGGAGAGGAGGATGAGGATGATGAGGAGGAGGAGGAGGAGGAGAAGGATGATGATGAGGAGGAGGAGGAGGGTGGGTTTGTGGAGTTTGACGAGCAGGAGAGGCGGATTCCCAAGTCGCTGCGCGGGATTGATCAGCAGGGCTCCATGATGGGGTTGCTGGGTAACAGATGGGCGCGGGAGAATGATGGTGACGGGGGTTCTGATGGTGGCGGTGGTGGTGGTGATGGTGGTGGTGGTGAGAGGGTAGGAGATAGAAATGGTAGAAAGGGGGAACCCAAGGCGAGTATAAAGGGGAAGAGCAAGGCGAAAGGGAGGGGCGGGGGACAGCACGAGAGGCGCGAGAAGCGGAGGAGAAAGCGGGGCAGGAGTAGCAGCAGCAGCAGTGCCAGCAGCAGTGCCAGCAGCAGCAGCGACAGCAGCAGCGGCAGCAGCAGCAGTAGCAGCGGCGGCAGTGGCGGCAGCAATGACAGGCGTGGCAAGGGCGGTAAGAAGGGCGTGGGCAGACATGGCTCAAGGCGAGATGCCGCAGAGAGGCAGGGGGCAGAGAGGCAGGAGGAAGGGAAGGAGAAGGAAAAGAAGCAGGAGGCAGGGCGGCAGGAGGAAGCGGGGCAGTCAGCAGGGAAGCAGGAGGCAGGAGGGAAGAGGCAGGAGGCAGAGAGGCAGCAGCAGCAGCAGGAGGAGGAGGCCGAGAGTGAGTACGAGCGGGAGCTGAACCGACGAGAGCTAGAGGAGCTGGCGAACGGCGTGGGGGATGGCGGGGGCAGTGGGGACGAGCAAGGCAGCATGGCCATGCGGGACAGTGACGAGGAGGAGGAGGAGGGGGAGGGGGAGGCGGAGAGGGATGACGAGAGAGGGTATTACGGAGAGAGGAGGGCTGGGAGGGGTGGTGGATACAGGGGGGGCGGGCGAGGGGAGGGGCGGTGGTGGAGCCGGGAGAGTGATGAGAGTGGGGATAGCGATGGCAGTGGGGGGGGGGGGGGGGGTGGGGATAACCCGAGGGGACGGGGGAGAGCAGGCAGGGGAGGGACAGCAGACAGAGCCCGGGGGGGCGGCCGGGACAATAGGGACGAGCGGGACGGGAGAGAGGAGAGAGAGGAGCAGGATGAGCAGGGCGCAAGGGATAGGTCCGTGGCAGTGGCGGTGGCCGCAGCGACGGCGGCAGCAGCAGCAGCCAAGGGCGGGGAGGCGGCAGGCGTGGCAGGGTTCATCTCTCTGCTCCGCAGCAGCGGGGGGTGCCGCAGCGTGGACGAATTCGAACGCCTGAACCGCATCGACGAGGGCACCTACGGCGTGGTATACCGCGCGCGCGACAAGAAGACCGGGCGGGTGGTGGCGCTCAAAAAGGTCAAGATGGAGCGGGAGAAGGAGGGGTTTCCGTTGACGTCCCTCCGCGAGATCAACATTCTGCTGTCGCTGCATCACGAGGCGGTGGTGGGCGTGTGGGAGGTGGTGGTGGGGAGCAGTGTGGACAGTATTTTCATGGTGATGGAGTATATGGACCACGATGTGAAGAGTTTGATGGAGAGCATGAAGCACGCGTTCAGCCCCAGCGAGGTCAAGTGCCTCATGCTGCAGTTGCTCAGTGGGGTCGACTACATGCACGGCAACTGGGTGCTGCACAGGTGGGTGTTGTGGAGGTGCTGGGGGTGCTGGGGGTGGGGGGGAGCTTTGTGGGGGTGTTGCAAAGGCGGGCTTTGAGGCGAATCAAAACTCGGCTGCAGCTGCTCAGCGGGGTCGACTACATGCACGACAACTGGGTGCTGCACAGGTGGGTGTGGTTGGATACGTGAGCAAGCGAGCGAGCGAGTGAGTGAGTGAGTGAGTGAGTGAGCGAGTGAGTGAGTGAGCGAGTGAGTGAGTGAGTGAGTGAGTGAGTGAGTGAGTGCAGGTGAATGCGTGCATGCAAGAGCTCATCCAGTCGCATGTCTTGTGCCCCTCCCTCACCTCACCTCACCTCACCTCACAACCACCATCCTTGCGCCTGCCTTCCCGCCCGCCCACCCTCCTGCACGCGCGCCTTCCTGCCTGCGTGCCTGCGTGCGTTCCCGGTACCTCCGTGGAGCAGGGACCTAAAGACGTCCAACCTGCTGCTGAAAAACCGCGGCGAGCTCACAGTGTCGTTTGACCCGACCTAAAACTAACACTCTGCGCCACCCCACCCCCCTGGCCTTCCCCCCCTCCCCCCCCCCCCCCCTTTCCCCCCCCCCCTCCCTCCGCGGAGCAGGGATCTGAAGACGTCCAACCTGCTGCTGAACAACCGCGGCGATTTGACGATGAGTTCTTACATCGACTCAAATTCAGCATCCCCCTTCTCTTCTCTCCCCACCCCCTCTGATGGCCCCCTCCGTGGAGCAGGGATCTGAAGACGTCCAACCTGCTGCTGAACAACCGCGGCGAGCTCAAGATCTGTGACTTTGGTCTCGCACGCCAGTACGGGTCGCCACTGCGCGCCTACACTCACATGGTCGTCACGCTCTGGTACAGGTGCGCTGGGGGGAGGGGGAGTGGGGGCGTGGGGGCGGAGGGATGAGGACGCACGCTGTGCGTGAGGGCGTAGGCTTTGGGGCCCCGCTGTGCGCCTACACGCACATGGCCGTCATGCTCTGGTACATTTTTTAAGGCGCCTCAAAGGCCGTCATGCTCTGGTACATTTTTAAGGCGCCTCAAAAGCCGTCACGCTCTGGTACATTTTTAAGGCGTCACTGCTCAAAAGCCGTCCCCTGCGTGTCTCGTCTCTGTCCCCCGGTCTGTTCCTTGGTCCCTCGGCCTCTGCTTCTGTGCCGCCCCAAGCACTGCGTTCCGAGCTTCTTCCAACTGCCTTTGCGTCACTCACACGCACACCCACACGCGCACCCACACGCGCACCCACACGCGCACCCACACACACCCCTGTCACCTGACAGAGCACCGGAGCTGCTGCTAGGGGTGCGCAAGTATTCGACGGCGGTGGACATGTGGTCCGTGGGATGCATCATGGCTGAGTTTCTCTGCAAGGAGCCGCTGCTGCCGGGCAAGTCCGAACTCGACCAGATCGACAAGGTGCCGTGCTGTGGGATGGCGTGGGATGGTGTGGGATGGTGTGGGATGGTGTGGGATGGGGTGGGATGGAGTAAGTGGAAGCCTACCGATCAACCCTGACTCCTGCTTGCTCCTTCTCTCTCCTTTTCTTCTGTCGTTCTCTATCTGGGCCTGCCTCCCTTTCTCCACCTCCCATTCCATCTCCCGCAGTCTATCCCTCCTGCGTTTCCCAACCCTGTCATGCCTGCTTCTCCCTCCATACTTCCCTCTATCCTCCCTTTCTTCACTGAATGCCTCGTCTTGCCTCCTCCTCACACTTTGTTCTCACGCCTTCTCCTCACAAATCGTCTCCTTACACATTGTTCTCACACATTGTTCTCACACATTGTTCTCACACATTGTTCTCACACATTGTTCTCACACATTGTTCTCACACATTGTTCTCACACATTGTTCTCACACATTGTCCTCACGATTTCTCCTTCCTCACCGCCTCAGATATTCAAGCTGCTGGGTACACCCACGGAGAAGATCTGGCCTGAGTTTGCGCAGTTGCCCAGTGTGAAGCGAGTCAGCTTTGTCCGCCAGCCGTGAGTGTGCCTCTGCTGCACCGCGCACACATACGCATGCACACATGCACGCTTGCACACATGCACACACACACACATGCACGCACGCACACATGCACGCACGCACACATGCACACACACACACATGCAGGCACGCACACATGCAGGCACGCACGCACACATGCACACACGCACACATGCACGCACGCACACATGCACGCACGCACACATGCACGCACCCACACATGCAGACACGCACACATGCACGCACGCACACATGCATGCACGCACGCACACATGCACACACGCACACATGCACGCACGCACACATGCACGCACGCACACATACACGCACGCACACATGCAGGCACGCATGCAGGCACGCACACATGCACGCACGCACACATGCATGCACGCACGCACACATGCACACATGCACGCACGCACACATGCACGCACGCACACATGCATGCACGCATGCACGCACGCACACATGCACACACACACACATGCACACACGCACACACGCACGCATGGACACATGCACACATGCACGCTTGCACACATGCACACATGCACGCACGCACCCATGCACACATGCACACACGCACACATGCACACACGCACACACGCACGCATGGACACATGCACTCATGCACGTACGCACACATGCACACATGCACGTACGCACACATGCACGTACGCACACATGCATGCACACGAGTGCACACCTGCACGCATGCGCACACTGAGGCATGAACCACACATGTGCACACACAATTGTGGTGTGCACTGCTGCAGGTATGATGCATGATCATTCACGCATCTGTACGCCACACCACACTTATGTCCAACGCAGCACAACAAACAACACACATGTAGGAACACAAGTGCACGTGCACACGTTGTATGTCTGTCAACCAACCCTAAGCAACCAGAATCAACTGCAAGTATGGGGTTGGTTGGATGGTTAGGTTTTCTTTTGTTTCATACTCCAGTTTCCCGCTCCCTCCCCTGTCACTCCCCAAACCCCTCCCTCCTCCCCCACCACTTCCCCTTCACCTCCACCCTTACCCTCATCCTCTCCCCCATCCCCATCCCTCCCCCTCCCCACCATTATCACCCCCACCCCCTCTCTCCCCACGCCCACCCTTACATTCCCATCATCATTCAACCACACCGACCCCCCACGAGCAGGTACAACAGGCCGAGGAAGCATTTCCCAGCCGTAGCGTTTGTGTGTTGATCCGACTGAGAAAATCATGTTGTCATTCTCAACCACACCGACCCCCCACGAGCAAGCACAACCGGCTGAGAGAGCGCTTCCCCAGCGATAGCGTTTGTGTGTTGAGTCGACTGACAAAATCCTTTTGTCATTCACCCCCCCCTCCCACCCACGAGCAGGTACAACCGGCTGAGAGAGCTTTTCCCAGCAGTGGCGTTTGTGTGTTGAGCCGACTAAAGTATACTATTGTCATAATGTCATTCAACCACCCCCCCCCCCCCTCCCCCCCACGAGCAGGTACAACCGGCTGAGGGAGCGCTTCCCAGCAGTAGCGTTTGGTGGCAAGCCTGCTCTCTCCGATGCTGGCTTCGACCTGCTCAACCGCATGCTCACATACGACCCCACCAAGGTACGCTTGCAGGTGCTGCAGGTGCAGGTGCAGGTGCAGGTGCAGAAAGGTGACTTTTGAGTCGACTCAGAAGGCAAGCCTGCTCTCTCCGATGGTGGCTTTGACCTGCTCAACCGCATGCTCACATACGACCCCACCAAGGTGCGGTTATTATGGGTGCACGCATGCGATGTGTGCATGTTTAAGACCTATGCGTGCATGCAAAGCACATGTGTGTGCATGCGAAGAGCCTGTGTGAGCATGCAAAAAAGCTGTGTGTGCATTTGATATGTGGGGGTGTTTGCGCTTGTGTCCACATTTTTAAAGAGGAGCGAGGGTTAGGGGTGGGGGTCGGGAAGGGCTGGACGCTGCGGTGTGTCTTTCACCTGAGTTAACATCCCATCCCATCCCATTACTTACAGCCAAGCCATTCTTCCACTGTCTTTTCAGTGGGAGGCTTCTAGGCTGTTTTCTGTTGAACGCGTGTGTAGTGTATTCTGCTGCATCTGCTGCATCCGCTGTAAGTGGTGAAATCATGATCAATACCGTATGGTCTCTCCTCTCCCCCTTGCCTTTCGGCTTGCCTATCCTCTCCCCCTTTCCGTTCTGCTCCCCCTGCCGTGCACCAGCGCATCACAGCAGCAGAGGCACTGCAGCATGAGTGGTTCAGAGAGGTGCCTCTTCCCAAGGCTCAGGAGCTCATGGTCAGTCCCCACCGTACCCTACCCTAACCCACCTTGCCTGCCTGCATCTTGTCGCTGATTCGGTACCATGTGTTTGCTTACCTTAAAATGACAGTGCATGCTTACTGCTTTTTTATTCCCTTCTCTCCCTGCTATTGCATGGCAGCCTACATTCCCAGGGCGTAATGAGCAGGACAGGCGGTTGAGAAGGCTGCAGCGCAGCCCAGACCCCCTCAAACTGAAGGGCGCTCAGAATGATCCAGCCATGGGAATGGTGTTTCCTAGTAATGCAGGAGTGCTGGGCCACAACGCTTATTAACATTGAATATGTATGTTAGCATGGGAATGGTTTACCCATACAGTAGCATCCATCAAGTCAATACAGTGGGTCAAAATTCAAGACAGCACACAATATACGTTTTCCATTGATAGGATAGGAACTGGGCAGGAGCAGAAAACCTCATTAGTAGACTCAAAAGAATGAGCAGACTGACAAGTAAAAGATGTACACATGCTGGTCCTGGCAGATGTCCAAACGCTGAGACTGTAACTCTACACAACCACTATCCTGTGCAAACGCCATCATAGATCCATCCACTCACACACAACTCCTCCATCCGCCATACACCCTTTGCCTCCCTCACACCAAAAGTCCACCTCCAGAACCGTCAAAAGCTGAGACCATCTTGTTCTGCTGAATCAGGAATCAGGATCAATACACGTGCTGCTGACGCTGGAGAACCTTCAGAAAGAGAACCATGAACAAAGAATCATGCACGAACCATGCATGAGGCACGCATGAACTGCTTCAGAACCGCTCAATCTTGTCCGCCTTTATCACCGGGCTGGCCTTAGCAATGGCTTCACGACCTGCCGCCTTGTAGTCAAACGAGCACTCGTGCTTATCCGAGTAGCGGTGGAGGGAGCAGAAGAGACCTTCGCAGCGACATTTGAACCCTGTGAGCCCCACCCTCCGTTTGCACACTAAGCAGCGGTTGGGAGCAGACGGCTGTGCGGCACCAGGCTGGGAGGGAGGAGCGGCAGCAGCCGCCGAGGCAGCGGCTGCAGCGGACGCGGTTACTGCTGCAGCTGCAGCTGCTGCTGTGGCGGTGGTGGTGGTGGATGGCTGTGATATCGATGGAATCTCTGCCGTCGACTTGCCTGACACGTCAACGTCCATGGATCCTGGTGATTCGCAGAAAAGTTGAAAGAAAAGATTCCCGATAAACTTAGCGATTGATACATTCGCATCAGCAAACCCGTGAGGGGGGGGTGGCGAGAGAGAGGAAAAGCGAGATTGACACCGACAGTGGAATTGACAGCGCGAAGGAGAAATACCAAGGGTGAGGGAGAGAGAGAGCGAGAGAGCGAGAGAGAGAGAGAGCAAGAGGGGGAGCGAGAGAGAGCGAGAGAAAGAAGGGAGCGAGAGCGAGAGCGAGAACGAGCGAGAGAGCGAGAGAGAGCGAGAGAGAGCGAGGGAGAGCGAGGGAGAGCAAGAGAGCGAGAGAGAGCGAGAGAGAGGGAGATACTTCAGGAGACAGTGAAGGACGGTAAGAGCGGTCAGCAAATTTTAGCTGAAATGATAGAATCTACAAGGGGGGACGAAATTTAACGGAGGCCCACAGCAGAAGCGCAGAAGTGGCGAGTATACAAACAGGCAAGCTATCACGCGGTAGGAAAAAAAAAAGTTACACGCGGAGAAGAGTAGTACCGGCACCAGACGCTTTCCCAGACGATGCTGCGGACGCGGACGACGATGCTACAACGTGAGACGATTTAAGCACGTAATCTCGATAACACTTGGAGCACATGTTCATCGTCGTTGCGCTGCCGAAGAAACCGCAGTTATTCACGCAGAGTATGCTTCGCTCTGGCTGGTGGCAATCGGCAGAGCCCTGCTCCCCGTCGCGAGCCATCGCTGATGATGTAAAACTAAAAGGTGACACAAGAAACTGCTACTATACAAAAAGCAACAACTACGTGTTCGGAACCTCTGCGAGCAAGGCGATCCTAAAAAACGGCTACAAACAAGATGCTTCAATCGATGCTAAGAACTATCGTAGAATTAGACTAGGAAAAAAAAAACCGCTGTCCTCGCACCTTCAGTCTCCTCGCAGATCAACCTAGGGAGGAATGGCAACAAACGAACACTGACGGTAAGCAACAGCCAACAGCCGTGGCCTAAAAACCCTCGTCCCTGACAAAGCAGACGACGAGACGACCCTCCCACTCCCCTTCCCCCAGCTAGTCCACCTTTCTGTGAAACTCCGATTCTGTCGACTGCTAAAGAGGCCCTTATCCGCCATGCCAAGCTTTCAACAAGCCCGTCCTCCTCGCCTCGCCTCGGCTGCTCCCCCTTCCACTCCCCGCCATATGATATCACCTTTTTCAACTAGCCTTGAAATTTCCTGCCCGTTTTGCAAACTCCTACAACTGCATGCCATTGGCTGCTACCCCTACATGGATCACTCCACTCCACATCTTTTCTCTCTGTGTTCAGACCGAGGGGAGGTGGATACTGTTGGGGCAGCCAACGAAACGCCTCTGACAGGTTTGATGTTACGGTGAGGGTTCGACGCAATCAAACAGCCTCGATTGACCCCGTCTGGTTGGTGTGTGCGACCTTGGACGTTCCGTGCCAGCCGATAGCTTGCCCCAAACCAACACGTCACCTTTGGCCAATACACAACGGGCTGGAGCGTTTCAGGGAGGGCGCCACGGCAAGCAGGGCTCCACATCGCGCCACGCGTAATAATGAAATTCGGCTTGCGTCACCATGCACTGGTGCCACGAACCAAAATCGAGAATATCGGAGGGTGCTAGGCAAATCCAACCACCGCCAATGACGCCTTCATTACTCGATAACGAGGTTATGCAAACTCAGGCGGAGTAACTCCAGAGCAATGTTTAGGTTATTTTGGAGTAAGCATCCAAGCTATCCAACCAATTTCCGCGTAGCGATTCAACCGTGTCTCCCTGTCCGCATCACACTCCCCTGTGTTGGGGATAAAGTAGATATTTACATTTCAAGAAATTACATCTCTAGTCTTCCGCTGCAAATACCGTATTACACAAGGACTAATCGCTAAACGATCCTAAGGGCTTTTCTCAGCCCAACACCCTGAATGATCATACCTTAGCTTCAAATTAATCAACCACCCTTCTCACCCGATATTTTTTGTACCTAAATTAGCCAAGCTTGTTGTGCGGTATCAAATGTCATTCAACTCCGCTAACATTGCTTTGCAATCCAGTGCGGTGAGAGGGGGGGGGGGGGGGGGGGGGGCTTTTCAGGAATGTGCAGAAGACTACCGTACCTACCTCATCTTGAGAGTAGTACTCGTTTTTTAAAGGTGGCAAGAAATATGCCCTCCAAGAGAACCCCTGGTTACAATGCCAGATCCCTAGATTAGTCCAGGGTGGCCCCACCAGTTGACAGCTGTGGGATGTGAGAAGCCCAATGGCTACACAGGGTAGCTCCAGGATTTTTGAAATGAGGCCACACGACCTGCTTTCATTGTAGTCTGTTCATGGTTGACAGGCCAGTATTCATCAAAAGTTTGGTGTGACCATGCTCCCCCTCCAGCAGGCATCTCCCAAACATTCACCAAAGCTGTGAAGAACTATGTCATGCTTTCAAGCGATTGCACCTCTAACTGAGGACGGACAGGATTCTGTATACTGGCCTAATTGAGAGTTGTAGTAGGCTTTAGTCATCACAGCTTTAATGCCTGGAAGTTCATGTACAGGAACACATCTCCAGGCAATGCAAATGGGGCAACACGGGCAGTCAACAACCACCAGATACCTTTCAGTATGAGAATGAAAGCCAATGGGCGTCCGTCAGGGCTGTTAATGCCTCTCCAGCACGGAAGAGCGACTTTCGCGATTCAGGTTCGTATTAGAAATCAGTCATTCTTTAGCAGCTTCCTTCGGGGCTTCTGGCTCAGCTGGTTTTTCGCCATTCTCAGCCTCCGCCTTAGCCTCTTCCTTGGTCTCGACAGGCTTCAACAAACCCCACTCAAAACCAAAAGGGTCAATAAACTTGCCATAACGACGACCCCAGTCCTGTTCAGACACCACCAGACTGGCCTTTGCTCCCTTGGCAATAGCCTTGGCAAAAATCGGATCTGGATCACTGCACTCGACTTGAATGGTAAATGTGGTTCCCTTCAATGCCGACGGAGGCCTCTTGCCACCCCTGCACCAGAAAAACGACTTCGATCAGGGATTAACGAAGAGCATGATAGTCACACAATACTCTGGCTTGCGTGTAGCCAATTTAGGTAAAACACAGCATCTACAGTTACAGCGAAGAAACGCAATTGGGACAAAACGATACACGCGACGTCATCATCGCTGAATGAACAACTTACTCAACGGTGGCCCCGTGACCAGTGTCATCTGCAAGCTTGATCTCCACATCTCCGAGCTTCAGGTGAGCGTGATCAATCAGAGGCTCATCCTGACCAGCCTTTCTCTTGCCGTAAATCTTTGCAACCTCCTCAAAGCCGAAGACATCCTTATACCACGCAACGGCTTCGCCAGCTCTCGGAGGATCAATGGAAAGAATAGGGTGGAGAGACTTGAAGGTCACAACTTTCACGGGCATTTCGCCATCAACGACTTCACCAGCCATGATTGTGTAAGATGACGACCAGACAGCGGAAATGTCACTGTCTGAAGATGTGGAATTGGCAAATTTGTCACCGATGTCTGGTTTGAATTGAGGAAGATGTAGTTCTTTGAAAAGGGAGGGGCGGGTGGGGGGGTGAGGAGCAACCAAGGACTCACACGTCACCCCACTAACGTCCGTGATTCAAGGGAAGAATTGAACACGTCGACTGCCAGCCCACCTCGGCTCCACTTCAAATTTCCCTCAAAGGGGGGTGTAGCTCAGGAGGAATATCTTTCGCGAAACTCCACGATTCCGCGTCAGCTCTTGCTTCGTGTCACGCGGGAGATCCCCGAGAGTAAC